TCCGAAGGCAGGGTTACCCGAGTTCTGTTTCTAGATGCCAAAAAGGGTTCTTTTTGATGCCATGGAGGAGCCCCTGATGAATCATTCCATGAACGGTTTCTGTAAATGAGATGAACCTTTTTGAAGTTTTAAAGTTTCAAGAACCTTTGCATAGCCTAAAGGCTCTAGAAGGTCTTTCCTAGAACTGTACACTGTTAGAAAATAAAGGTTCTCTGCAGGTACAGTTCTCATTCATCAAGGTACAAACAATGTAAATGTTCTCTCAAAAGTTCAACTGTGGTTTTAATGTTCCCTGACTAAAGGTACTGAGATGAACTCTTGAGGGTTCCACCCCAGTGACAGTTTAGTACCTTTACTTCTGAGAGTGTACAGTCGAGCAAGGAACCATTCAGGAGCCTTTATTTTTAAGAATGCATTGCTGGAGCTTCAGCTTTGTAACTTTCACTTGTCGAACATTTCTCATTTTGTTAATAAACCAAGAAGTCAGCGAGTGATGTTGCAATGCTGCTTTGCTTTTGAAGTCACAGGACATTTTTCAAGACTTATCACTCATATTCTTATGTCAAGATGCATGTTTAGATATTATGTGGCTTTAAACCATATCTATAAACCAGAAAGTGTGCTTTTTCTATCATTTGATGGTTTTGAATGCTGTGGATAAGAGAGATCCTCAAACATGCTTTTACTTATTTGCTTAAAACAAACAAATAAATACATAAACAAATAAATAATGATACTAATGTCTCAGCAGCAGTGGGGACTTTTTTGCACATTGATTTTTTTATTGAAATTATTTTAGGACTACATAAAAAATATACAGTATATGCAAAACACCAAATTACATATATATATATATATATATATATATATATATATATATATATATATATAGTGCACAATTTCTTTACATTCTTTATATTTATTTAACGTATTAGAAAGAAAAAAAAACATAAAATGCAAAATGTGCCATAACATTTGCCCAGACCACATTTTTTGTTTTATTTTTTACTCCCAATATGTTCAGTAAATAAACAGTAATTGTGCATTAAAATGTGCAGAAGTGTGTTCTTTATACTTTTTTTAAAAATGGTTCTTCAAGGGTTTTTCAGTACACACAACCATAAACACTCAATGAACCATTTGCATGCTTGAATGGCTCTTTGCATGGTAAAATGGTTCTTCAGATTGATGCACAATGTGTTGTATGTGGTTCCATTTGGAACCGTCTATATAGCACCAAAAGGGGTCCTTCTATTGTTATGATGTCAAGCTTATATAGATTCATATACAAAACATTCTCTATCAATCTGAGGAACTATTTCATCATGCAAAGAACCATTTAAGAATGTGGATAGTTCTTTGAGTATTAATTGGTCTAATAGAACCACCGTCATTACTAAAGACCCCTTGAAGAACCATCTTTTTTAAGAGTCCAGAGGACGTTTTCATTTATTTTCACTTAGAAAATCAATTAGAAAAGGGCGCCCAAACTTTTGCAGGCAGTTGTGTACAGCTTAAATCGTTTGTGTCTGAAGTTGCACTAATTGAGTGAAGGTAGAGCACAACGCTGTTTAGTCGTTCATCAAGGTTGTCTCCTCCCTGGCCGCTGACCCCCGCACCCCCCAAAGCTCTGGACAAATTTGTTTTTCAGCTCAGAATGACCCACATCTCTCCCCCTTCTCTGTTTCCTATCCCCTGGCCTGAGCCAAAAGGTTTCGCCGCACATGGGGGATCGATTTCCTGTGGGCCACCAAAAAAGCTGAGCCGTGACGCATATGAGCTCCAAAGACAATACCCAGCCCCTCCAAACAAGAGCTTACGCCGCACTAACACAAACACTCACGCACAAACACTTACATACATTTGAATACATAAAGCAACCCTGAAACCTCACGTTGGCATACAAACACCGTCTTCAAAGAGGAAGCAACAATACGAACAATCCTTAACCCTTACCTACCAAACTTCCTTCTGATAAGGCCTTCCACTGTTTACCTACTTGAAGGTTCCAACCATTGAGAGGATTATTTAATGAAAGATAATAAATAAACATCTTATCTGAAAGCATCTCTACAGCCAGGCTTCCTAAGATTTCACTGCTTGACATTACAATGATTTAATATCTGTCTGCATGCCGTGTTCAACACCAGGTAGAAGCAACATCTCAAAGACTGATCAGTGTTTACGAACACATAGTGAAAGGCCCAGTCCCATTTCTTCTTTTTACCCCACCCCTTGTTTTTGAGTGTTGCCCCTTACAGGTTAGTGGTTGAAGTCTTCCCTCTGAAATGGGACCCTCAAATAAAAAGAGCATTACTTCATTAACAGCTACCAGCGCTGCTCTGTAGGCGACACTGCCAGTCTGCAGTGACAGCAGAGGAGGGTAAAGTTCAGCTCCTCACTGCTGGGCTTTAGTTACATTTAGGACATCATATGACTTCAAAGAGGGGGGCAATTATTTATTATCACCCCCCTAATTCTTCAGTGATATGAAGCTGAAGTCAGATATTCTCCAGCTTCTTGTTCAAATTTTCCTGTTCCACTTTAAATCGTGTAGCAGTTACGTTCTGGCGCTTCAGGCATCAGAACTGCTGGACTATTTAAGGTGGAATGGGAAATTTAGCTAGCTACCAAGACATTAGCATGCTATTAGCAATTTTTATGCTTGTTATGAATAAAACGACCAAAATACACTAAACAGCATTAAACTGAGATAATATAATGGTTATTGTAATTCTGTAACAGAGTAAATTCTCACATTTGTGGGTTTCTTTGGTCTCTTGTTCTCCATCTTGCTGGTTTTTCTTCTTTTCTCATAACTCTCTGTTTGGAGTCTCTGAAAAACCTCCATTTGGAGGGTCATGTAGCCCCAACACTTCACCGTACCCCTCTATCTCAACAAGAATCAGGACACCCTACGGACGTGAACACACAAAACAGAGGAGTAAGGGCTGAGCGGTAGGGGCGAGGGGTGAAATGGGATCGGGCCTAAGGTTACTGTAGATGTAGATGCAAGGTCCTCTAGATGGAGGTGTAATTGTGTCAACTTTGTACCGGGTTCAAAAGCTCCTTTTGTGACGACACAGCAAGAGTTTCAAGTGGTAGAAATGGCTATAAATGTGCACTTTGTGTGGAGTATCAAAACCTGAGATGTCTGGGGGTCATTTCAAAGCAGAATTTGTCAAGTAGCCGCATCACTTAAGCTCAAAGTCATGCCTGACCAGTGGGAGAAGAGCTACAGGACATTTCTACTCACTGTAATCCTCACTGTGGGGTTAAAGTAATGCATCTGGCTATTTGGTTTGCTGTTGAACGTTGGTCGGTTCAGTTTTGGGCTGGTGGTGCTTCCACACACTTGAAAAAGATGGTTCTTTAAGGGTTCTTTAGTAAAGAAAAATGGTTCTATATTGAACCTTGAACATCCAAAGAACACTTTACATGATTAAAGGGTTCTTTGCATCATAAAAGTGTTCTTCAGACTGATGCAGAATGTGTTGTACATGGTTCTTTATAGAACTCTTTTTTTGAAAAGGGTTCCACTATTTTTACAAGCCAAAGAACCCTTTTTTGGTGCTATATAAAAGGCTTTTTGCTATGAGTGTATAGCACCTAAAAGGGTTCTTCAATTGTTACAAGCTTGACATCATAACAAAAGAAAAACCCTTTTTGGTGCCATATAGAACCATTTTCAAAAATGTTCTATAGAGAACCATCTATACCACATTCTCCATCAATCTGGAGAACACTTTCACAGCGCAAAGAACCCTTTAATCATGTAAAAGTTTCTGTGAGTGTTCATGGTTCTACATAGAACCACTGTCTTTACTAAAGAACCCTTAAAAAACCATCCTTTTTAAGAGCGCAGCTAAGATCTTGGCTTTGTTCTCCATCAGAATGATCCTCCCACATTGTTGTGCTGCTGGAGGTATGCTAGTCATTACCAGGCAACGTATTCCGGAATTGTCTGGAAAAAACTCGAGCCTACTCCCCACATTGTTCTACACCAAGCTACGAGGACCTTTCTCAGATTCTTAACTTAGAACGTCATTGTCTTACAAGCAGACATGGAAACCTTCAGGTGTCTAACAGGATGAATCATAGCACCGTCATATTTTCGGCCTGAATTCGACACGTTAAGCCAAAGCATACCAATCGAATGTTCTCCAGTGTTCTATAATACACCACTATGAATTGGGAGAACACTTTAGAACAATGTAAATGGGTGTTATAAAGGGTGTTTTTCAAAGGTTCTTTAACAAAGACAATGCATGGTCAAATCATTCTTCTTCAAGAAGGAGAACATGTTTTATATGGTTCTTTAAAGTAACTTTGAAAAATAGTTCTATACAATACCAAAGAGGGTTCCAGTATTATTACAAGAACCTTAATGTAGTACTAAATAGGAGTGGTTGTCAAAATAATCCTCAGACTGGTCCATACTTTGGCCCTCTCTCTAGGTGTTGGGAGTTCTTTAAAAGTGGAAAAATGTGGTGTCCCTGCTACCCAGTTTGAGAACCATTGCAATATAGAACCCTAAAGATGATCACAAAGGTAGAGCACAACCCCAATTTCTATGTTTGTTGGAGAACATTGTGCTCTGGGATTTAGCATGGTTTTAAAAAACCAGTTTGTGATCGCTACCACTGGCAGGCCAGTTCTGAGAACAGCAACAACAAAGACTCACTAAAATATATATGCATCTCTATTAGCACTGAACCCTCAGAGCTATTCTTGGGTTCACTGTGGCGCCATTTCCTGACTGTGGTGTTAAGCTATTTTAAGCTAAGAAATAGACCCTGCCCAGATAGCATCAAAGACCTGAGTGAACAGGGCCCGTTCTAAATAAGGAGAGCAACCAACAATGTGAAAATAATAATGCTTGAACATGAAAATATCATGTCCCCCCAAAATCTTGCCTGGTTGCACATATAAACCACAATCAGGGCTGTTGATCAGCACTACTGGCTGTACTGAAGATCCTTATCACTGTTGTGTGATAGGAAGCTCTGTCGGTGGTGAGTGAGGACCAGTCCATATTCGAGCCAGCGTTCGGCAGCGCCCAGGCCGTGCACATGAAGGGTGAGATCACGTCCCCGCCGCAGGCAGTTTACAGGCAGGGCTCAGAAGAGAGCTCCGAGTCCACCGAGCCCGACTGGACAGCGACATCAGCACCAAACACGGCCAAACGAGTCGAGCACGTCAACGGAGCCAGGTGGGAGAACACGCACACCAACACACCTAACAATTAACACAAGCAGCGTCAAAGTTAACACCTCCCATTTTCTCAGGAGCAACTATAGAGACTGCCTTAAAGTGTCTAACAGGTTCTGCAATGAACCAGTATGAATGTGGGAGAACGTTTTAGAACGGAGAACGGGGGAATGACATTCTATAGACCAACTACTCTCTTCAAAAGGGTGTTCTTCAAAGGTCAAAGGTTCATATGTAGGACCGTGACAACTGTTCAGTTGTCATGTTCAAATGGTTCTTCTTCATGAAGGACAACCTGTTCTATATGGTTATTTGAAGAACCTTTTGACACAACAAACAATTAATACAAGTGGTGTCTAAGTATTAATGCCACTTTCTCAGGAGCAAGCGTGAAGACTGCATCAGAATGTCTATCAGGTTCTGTAATGAACCAGTATGAATTTGGGAGAACGTTTTAGAACAGAGTGAATGGAGGAATGATATTCGATAGACCGACTACTCTCTTAAAAAGACTGTTCTTCAAAGGTTCATATGTAGGACCGTGAGAACTCAAATGGTGTTTTTTCTTTGCATGTTCAAATGGTTCTTCTTCATGAAGGACAGCCTGTTCTAAATGGTTATTTAAAGAACCTTTTGACACAACAAACGATTAATACAAGTGGTGTCAAAGTGTTAAGACTGCATCAGAGTGTCTATCAGGTTCTATAATGAACCACCGTGAATGGGGAGAACGTTTTAGAACAGTGCAAATGGAGAAGAACAATCTAGAACAGTGTGAATGGAGGAGTAACATTCTATCAATGACCAGGATAACACGTTAGTAGCACACTGACACGACACATAATTAAGGCAACATTAAAACGTTTAATGTAAATGCATTGTCCTAGTTTGACCTAGTTTGACCTTTCTAGCCGTTAGTAGTTCAGGCTGAAGCCCAGCTGCAGATAACTGTTGTTTTGATTCTGCAACTGATAAGAAGGTCCACTGATGGCTCTCTAAAAAAGGCCAAATTCGTGCTAAAACCAAAGTCAGTTCCAGCTACTGTTATAGTGGAGTTTTCACTGATATATGTTGATCAACAAGAGCAAAAGCGAGTTAAAACATTGACTGTATATATGATTTATATGATATATACTCTTATTGACTGTATATATGATGTGATATATATATATATATATACTTATTGACTGTATATATGATACATGCAGTCAATGAGTGTATATATCATATATACAGTCAATAAGTATATATATCACATCATATATACAGTCTTGTTGTATATATCAAATATACAGTCAATAAGTATATGTAATATATATTATACACACATGCTTATTGACTGTATATATCATATCATACTCTTATTGACTACATATATGATATATACACTCATTGACTGTATATATAATGTATATGACATACATGCTCATTGACTGTATATTGACATATATTACATATTCACTCATTTATTGCCTTTATAATGTATATGATATATACACTGACTGTATATTTATGATATATATGATGTACACACTCATTAGTTGGAACATGCAGACACTGTTGCTCTCACTGGATGTTGGTAATAAAAAAATTGCGAACACTGCGGAGTTTTATTTTGTTCACTCATGCAGCTGCAATAAAATGCACTGCTTTTTAAAAATAGATCTAGTTTAGGGTCGAATCTGAGCAAATAAGACAATGCGATTAATCGTGATTTTTGTTCATGACAAATCATTTAGCAGCGTTAATTAATACACAATATTTTGTTTTCTAACACACAGTGATACTTCGTCTAGCACTGCGCTGTGAAGAGTAACTGATCCGTCAGTGACTGATCAACTGTGTTGACTAATCTTTGCAGTTGCGCTACGCAGTGATGTGTGAGTGCTGTGCTCTGTGACCTTAGAGGAACCTTAGAGAAAGTCCACTGAAGATCTGATGAGACGCGTCAAACTTTTTAACCCTTCATGAGCCGGTATATGAGCCAAACCTAATCTGTTTGGAAAACAAGCTCAAAATTGGGAAAGACTTCGCAATGTTTTGATTCACCTGATTGAATTCAGGGTATCATGAAATTTCATTTTTTGATTTGAATCTGTTATTTTAGTTGATTCAGAATTATTTGAAAAAATATACTGAATACACAAATATTTACACAGTCATAGAAAAAGCCAATGAAAACAATATAAGATTTATGTTCTTTGCATATGTATTTTAAGTAAGTGCAATATTTAAAAAATAAATCAAACCAATTTTAAAAGTTTCAAATTTTGAAATATGTTTATGTAATAATAATTGATTATAACTTTAAAAATTGATATAGCTCAGCAGCTTTTCCTAGTCAGCTGGCAATTCCACTGCATTTATTTGGAAATGTTATTTCATTATTATCATTACATTAACTTCATTAAATACGTTCCATCAGATTTGTTTCATTCTTTCATGATGCATTGTTTTAAACTCTGTTTCTGTCTCAGTCGAGAGTCTCCGGTGGAGTGTAGTGGGGCTAAACGGAGCCGCCACATCAGCAGCAGTGATGGAAGTCAGCTGGGATATCAGGCCTCGTACCCGGAGCCCCGGACCAGCCCCCAGGCCCCCACGCCCCCCAGCAGCACCACGGAGGAGAAGAGAGTCATTGTCCCAGCAGGTGAGAGAAACAGCCTCTCCTACTTAACTACCCTCTTTATTAACTGCCCTGTCCAGGCTCCGCCCACAAGTGTGTTCTGTCATAGCTGCAGTTGTGAGGAAACTGAGAAACCGTATAACAAGACTCAGTTTATATCACAATACCTACATTTAGAGTCGGTTATTCATTCAACCTAATGAGAAACTGTAGAACAGACTCAGTTTATATCACAATACCTACATTTAGAGTCAGTTATTCATTCAGCCTAATAAGAAACTGTAGAACAGACTCAGTCTATATCACAATACCTACATGTAGAGTCGGTTATTCATTCAGCCTAATGAGAAACTGTAGAGCAGACTCAGTTTATATCACAATACCTACATGTAGAGTCGGTTATTCATTCAGCCTAATGAGAAACTGTAGAGCAGACTCAGTTTATATCACAATACCTACATTTAGAGTCAGTTATTCATTCAGCCTAATAAGAAACTGTAGAACAGACTCAGTTTATATCACAATACCTACATTTAGAGTCAGTTATTCATTCAGCCTAATGAGAAACTGTAGAACAGACTCAGTTCATACCACAATACCTAAATTTAGAGTCGGTTATTCATTCAGCCTAATGAAAAACTGTAGAACAGACTCAGTTTATATCACAATACCTACATTTAGAGTCAGTTATTCATTCAACCTAATGAGCAGAACTATATTAATCCACAGTTACATTAAAAACTAGACTAATGCAGCGTTCTGAGATTTCAGAATTAGACCACAGCTATTCAGTAAATGTTTTGAGATTAGATTTGGCTCTATTGTTTCATCAAATAAAGGGGGCACATCTTAACTTTGGGGGTCTTCTTCCTCCTAGTTAACAGTATATGTTTATAAGTTAGTAGAACTTGATTTGGAGGGCCATTAACAGAATAATATTAAGATAAAAACCTGATTACAGTCACATCCGCAGGCTGATGTTTGGTAAGCATGTTTCAACCACAAGCTCTTGCATCACAGAGGAAGTAGAAGTTGAGTGTGGAGAATGCCAGGTCAGTGGCACAGAGTGCGCTGTAAATGGGAGGGGCACACTTTTATGCACGTCCACTTCCTTCCTGTCTCTGTGTTCAGCCCCAGCTATATTAAAGCTTTAAACCAATCATTTGACGAATTTGGTAGAATAAAATGTCACTTTTAAAAGTTACTTTAAAAAAAACACCATTTCCTTGTAATGGCTTTTCATTAGAATCTTCTGTTCCACCTTAACCGGTGCAGCTGTTACACTCTGGTGGAGTTCAAATGAAATAGAACATTCAAATAAGAAGCCAATTTCTGCCTTTGGAGTGATTTCAGATTCCACCTTAAATGGTCTGGGGCCTCAGGTGCCAGAGTGTGACAACTGCCGCATTTAAGGTGGAACGGAAAATTCAAAGAAGAAGCCAATTTCTGCCTTTGTAATGATTTTCAGTTCGACCTTAAATGATCTGGTTCTTCAGGCAGCCGAGTGTAACATTTGCACCATTTAAGGTGGAACAGAAAATTCAAACAAGAAGCCACTTTTTCCTTTACAGCAATTTCAGGTTCCACCTTAAATGGTCTGGTGCCTTAGGCATCAGAGTGTGACAACTGCACCATTTAAGGTGGAATGGAATATTCAAATAACAAGCCTATTTCTGCCTTTGTAATGATTTTCAGTTCCACCTTAAATGGTCTGGGGCCTCAGGCACCCGAGTGTAATATCTGCATCTTTTAAGGTGGAAAGGAAAATTCATATAAGAAGCCAATTTCTGCCTCTGAAGCAATCTCAGGTTCCACCTTAAATGGTGCAGTTATTACACGGAATATGCAAATAAGAAGCCAGTTTTGTCTTTGAAGTGATTTCGGGTTCCACCTTAAATAGTCTGGGGCCTCAAGTGCCAGAGTGTAACAACTGCACCATTTAAGGTGGAACGGAAAATTCAAATAGGAAACCAGTTTTTGCTTTTGGAGCGATTTCAGGTTCCACCTTAAATAGTCTGGGGCCTGTTTCTGAAAGAACATTTCAATGGATTTGTGTTAACGAGCTGCGCGAGAACTGTTTTAAAGTTTAAAGAACCTCCACATAATGTTCTAGACTCCCTTAAAATGTTTCCTCAAGGATTCTTTATTAAGATCAACAATTAAGTAATAAGAATCATGACTATTCAGAGAGCCGTTAGAATGGTTCTTTGCATGGTCGAATCGTTCTTCTCTAAGATGGAAAACTTATATATGGTTCTTTAAAGAACCTTTAAAAATGGATTTTTATAGCACCAAAAATTCATATAATCATTTTTTCCTACCTTATACAGCAAACGTCCGAAACCACTCTTTTTACTTAACTTCCAGTCAAAACAGCCGTAAGTCACAAGTTTCATTTTGCAGTGTTAAACACATATTTACAGAAAATTGTACATCAATTGAAGGTTTTCCTAGAAACCATATAACCCAAAAACCATTTAGGAACCGCTTTTAGAGTGCAGCTAACATGGAAAGGGAAGTTATGGCCGATTTGGCTCCTCAACTGACCAGTTTCCTCTTCATGCTTGCGCTTTTCCCCGCGCCGCCCATGGTGGGAAGTCTCGGAACCAGAAGAAAAGATTCATCTGATGCTCGTAATAAGATTTAATTGATGCTCGTAAAGATTCGTTTGATGACCTTTCTTCCAGGTAGGAGTGACTCATGAGATGTGAATGTGAGCTGTAGTTGATATGGGGCTGTGCTGGCTGAGGGGTTTCAGTCTGACTCAAACGCTCAACAGGATACTGGGCCGTCTTTCAGGGTCACTGTTGAAGGTTGTGGTGACATCATTTTAAGGGGACAGAAAAATGGGGTCATTGCGCGTGGTGCGTCAGACAGCGCTGGCCGTTATTTCACACGCAGCTCAGTCAGACCTCACGGCGCTAAAGCTGCACTCTGAATCACGGTTTTAATGAGAAACACAGAGCCGTGACCTGCAAAAGGGGTCACTGTTTCATAGTGTTTAATAAACAAAGCCGTTTTAATATCATGTGAGAATCTGCTGGCCTGCAGCACCAGCTCAGAGTTTGGAAATATCTACTTGTGAGAGGCTTTTCTTATTTTTACTGTTTTCCACTTTTCTCATCTTTAGCCCAACTTCTTTCCCTCCGATTTTGATGTGGTCAGTTTCATTGTTAGCTTGGACACACAGTGCTAATAAGCTGGGAGGGTGAAGGCTGCGCTTACAAAAACAAAGTATGCTTAAAGTTCACTTTATTAAGTAAAGTTAAGTAATGTATAAAAGTAAAGTATACTTTATGTAGTAAGAATACTAATATCAATGTACTAGTAGTATACTTACAAGTATACTATTTCAATACTTCTTATGACTAAATTAGCCCATTTTTTAGTTTTTAAAAGTGTAACTTTAAGTATATATTAGATGTAAGAGTTGTAAACTTTGAGTGCACAACTACTTTACATCCAAGTTTTATCTTATGCTGCAACTATACTGTGAACTACACTATAAGTGCACTTATAGGCTATAAACTTCTAGCCCACTCTTTAGTTTATGTAAATATACTCTGAAGTATACAGCAAGCAAACTTATACATACTTACTGTTAGTTCACTACTTCTGTAACATTGCTCCACTTTATAGTTTTTAAAAGTACACTTTTACGTATTCTTTAGGTGTAAGAGTTGTAAACTTTGAATTCACAACTACTTTACATCCAAGTTTTAATTTGTACTGCAACTATACTGTGAATTACACTATAAGCGAACTTATAGGTATACTTTTAGTCTACTAGTTATAAATTTATACCCCACTTCTGAGTTTATGAAGGTACACTTTATAAAGTATACAGGCCACAAGTATACATACAAGTACAAGTATTGGCCAAATAGACTTAAACTTTTCTGTATGCTTGTCAGAATAACCCAAGTATACTTAAGCACAATTCAGTTTTGTATATTTCTGATAAAGACAAAAAGTGAAACTAAAAGCATACTCACTTATTTTTCGGCTTAAAATAATATACTAATAGCACACTTGAATAAACTTCTTTTTTGTAAGGCTACACTGCGCTTGGCAAGTGATATCATCTTAAATCTGGTCAGCATATCTAATATTCCTCATTCTGAAATTGTTGTAGGAATATTCTGAATTTAACTTACTTATTTTTAGACATTTCTTTTTACATCTTAGTCCTTCTATCTGTGATTTTTTTTTGCCAACATTCACCTTTCTCTATAACTCTGGACCATCCTACATACCTAGAAATACAGAGGACAGTTATGCTCTTGTGGGTAGTTGCGCAACTCTGCTTTCCACATTTTAGAAAAAAAGTGACAGCAAACACAGAAACACAGAAAACTACAGAAGTGCATTACCTGGAAAAAATACAGTGGTTTTACTGCTTAAACAGTTGCTACGCAGTTGCTAGGGTGCTGCCAAACAGTTACTATCATATTTTAGGTTGTTGCAAAAGTGTTGATAATTGGTTGCTATGGTATTCCAAGTGCCTGCTAGGATGTTGCTAGGTGGTTGCTAAAGTATTCCAGGTGGTTGCTAGGATGTTCCTAGGTGGCTGCTTTGGTTCCCCATTGATAACTGACAATGAAAACCATATATCTGATCAAAAAGCTACACAAGCAGACCATTCGCGATCAGGCTGACCGCTCTGGAGTTGAAACAGTGTCGATATCTCGAGAACTGCAGAACAAGTTAGTGGACAAAAATCCGGCCAAGAATAAAAATACAAATCATAAAATCATGTTGCTTTTCAATGCGTAATCACAAATTATTCAGTGACCAAAAAAGTGTTAAACATAACAATGAATTATTTCAGATCATTTAACCCTTTTTCATAGTAGCCATTGCAGTGTCCACCTGTTTTGGAGGTCTTCAAGGTGGACTGCACATTTTTCCTTAATTATGTTGATGAATTATGTTTTGATGGAAGTGTGTATGATGTACAGAACTGCTTTTTACTTCTACTGGAGTCATTGTTCCATTGCAGTTGTACTTTGGTTTTGGGTTTAGGCTCCTCTCGAGGTCCTGAACTCTCTTCTCTTCATGGTCCACTCAGTACGGTCATCTTCCTCAACCTTTTCCCCTCTCTCTTCCTCTCAGATCCTGAGGTGTGGACACAGGACCATGTGCGGCAGTGGGTGGAGTGGGCGATAAAGGAGTACAGCCTGGTCGAGGTGGACGTGTCCCTTTTTCTCGCGCTGGACGGCAAAGCTCTCTGCAAGATGACCAAAGAAGACATGATGAGGCTAACGTCTGCCTACAACACCGACATCCTCCTCTCACATCTCAACTACCTCCGCCAGAGTGAGTTACCCGAGCGGCCGGGTTCCCAGAGCCAGATTAGGCCTAAACCCAGATGATTTTAAGGGGGAGATGGTGCAAAACTAGGCCTAATCTAGAGTCCAGAAAATAAGTCCCATTAAGTTATTAATTACATTATTACTTTGAGTATCTAGTTTTTGACATTTAGATAGGAATTTTCAAAATTGTTGCCTATTGAAATGGTTATTCAGAGTGGTTCAGTGCAGTTCAGAGTGGTTTGGTGTGAAACTAGAGAAACTTACCGAGTCAGAACTGTTCACAGTGTTTTCCTGTAACTGTTATTACAGTTATTACAAGTTACTATCTATAACACATTTTAAAACTAGGTAAAATGTCTATATTTGTGTTGTAGTCATGGCAACCCCTGGTTCCTATCACCACCACTGTAAAGACATCTGAACCATTTCACACCAAACCATTCTGAACCACTCTGATTACAGCTCACACACTGAATTACGCAGAAATATTGAAAAATGAAAGGAATTCCCCTTTAATTCTACATTGTGGAAGTTATTATTGTCTAATATATGACATTATTAATATGATTAGTATTTAAAAGTCTTTGAATGATAATGTATCTTTAACTGTGGGCGATACAGCATAAACAGCATAAACATAATGGCATAAAAAATAAATTTGGCACAGTAATGATACCACATATCACCCACCCTTATAGTTAAAGAGGAATCCACCAATATCTTAAAAAAATCCTCCATAACTCAATGTGTGAGACGTAATCAGAGAGATTCAGAGTGGTTTGGTGTGAAATGGTTCAGATGTCTTTACAGTGGTGGTGATAGGAACCAGGGGTCGCCATGACTACAACACAAATACAGACATTTTATTTACTATCCAGAACCACCAGTGAACCTACACGAGTCTTCTGAGTTTATATGAATGTTGATGATGGAAAACAGTGGAAAATCTGAAATACTAAGTTTTCTTTGGGGACTATTTTGCCTCACAGCGCCCTGCATGTATCCCTCCACCATGAATGGAGTTTAAGTTCTCTAAACTATCATAAAACAGTGTCTCAGTCATCAGGCAGTGAATTCATAACCATTTCATGTAGGAACTTTCTGTGAGGGAGCTTTTAGAGGTGGACGTCTGGTTCCTGTCACCGCCACTGTGAACAGTTCTGACTCAGTAAGTTTCTCTAGAACAGAGCGATTCACACCAAACCACTCTGAACCGCTCTGAACCACTCTGAACCGCTCTGAACCGCTCTGAACCACTCTGAACCGCTCTAAACCACTCTGAACCGCTCTGAACCGCTCTGAACCACTCTGAACCGCTCTAAACCGCTCTGAACCACTCTGAACCGCTCTGAACCACTCTGAACCACTCTGTTTACATCTTAACCATTTAATTATGCATCAAACAAACTGCATTGTTGTTGACTCTGCTGTCAGAAAGCCACAGTGGAGTGTGTCTGTATTTATTGTTTTGTTTTCTGACCTGCAGGCAGCCCCACCTTCTCCTACCCTCCCACCCCCACCAACACACAGCCCCAGCCCAGAATACAGGTCAAAGCTGGTGAGTCAACACCGTTTCAGCATGTGTCTCTTTCTGAATGTTGAATGTCATTTTGAGCTCAAAAACTCAGCAGTACAGACCAGCAAACACAGCTTTGAACAGCTGTTCACACAGAAAATCATCATATTTTACATTAAAACACTAAAAAGTGCTGAACTGCAGAAAATATGACGATTCTTAATGTTCCACACTGATTTAACTGCTCACCATGTGGCCATGAGGGACAGGGATGCAGCCTCACTTCCTGCTCTGAAATACAGGGAGGGGGCTAAAACTCTGTGTTTCAGTAGTGACATAAAAACGCAGGACAGCATTTTTCGAATAAAGTTTTTTTATTTTAAAATTAAATTCATGATAAATCTAAATCTTTCAACTTCACTTTAAAAGAAATTTAAATATTATTTTCATAAGTGTAATTTTAGGGGTTAGGGACAGAGGCCTCCCAGATACCAAACACGTGAGGACGGACAACGATTTAAATCTTTATTTATTTATTTATTTTGTAAAGTATCACTTTAAGCTGCAACATTTACAAGAATTGGTCCAAATAACGCGAGTTTAAAAGAATGTAGCCAGTTAGTCTGGTCAGTTTCAACTCTGATCCAAAGCACTTGATAAAAGTGTTATATTCACATGCACTAGGTCAGTGCAGGAGGCATGAGTGTGGTCAGGGAGTCCAGGTCAAGTGTCAAAAGGTTTATAGCATAAAGAACAGTGTTCTGTGTTTCCTCACACTTTTATTGCCGTAAACAGAAGGTGATGAAAACAGCGATTTCAGCTTCAAGATGAAGTGCTGACAGGTCGTGTAGACACTGAAAGACAATTACATGTTGGCAAGTGAAAGCATCTTAAAGGGGAATTCCACTGATTTTTCAGAATTTTTGCATAATTCAGTATAAACAGTGTGGTTCAGAATGGTTTGGCATGAAATGATTCAGATGTCTTTACAGTGGCGGTGATAGGAACCAGGGGTCGCCATGACTACAACACAAATATAGACATTTTACCTAGTTTGAGGCCAAATCCTTCTCAAAATGATCATAAAACAGTGTCTCAGACATCAGGCAGTGAATTCATAACCATTTCATGTAGGAACTTTCTGTGAGGGAGCTTTTAGAGGTGGACGTCTGGTTCCTATCACCACCACTGTGAACAGTTCTGACTCGGTAAGTTTCTCTAGAACAGAGCGCTTCACACCAAACCACTCTGAATCACTCTGTTTACATCTTGAACTTGGAATTATGCTTATATTTGTTTAAAATTGGTGGAATTTCCCTTCAAATCTTACCATGGTATCTAATATGGGATTGCTGTACAAAGACTTCACAGTGTGTTTTCCACATGTTGTTTATTTGAGCCACTTTATCCAGTGCAAAGGTTCATTCCTTGTTTAAAGCAGGTCCGTATTTAAAGAGACAGTGCTTAAAATGAGCAAAATTATATAAATATAATAGGAACATTTCTCTAGATACAATTATATACAGGTAAAAGGTCTATAAACAGGCTCTCATGATGAGAAATATAACATATAATCTGCAGATTTAAGATGATTTTCAGTGGTGTTTTCTGCCGTGAGGGCAGTTTGATGAAGCTCTGTGATCAGCACTAACTAACGTTCTCTGCAGTTTCAGACAGGAAACAGCTGCACTGGGGCAGGAAGTGGGGTATGGGTACCCTGTTAGGACACAATTGACTATTCTATGGCAAATACATTTGGCCACAACAAAAGGACACTCACCCCCAGGGACTGTGGGTCATCTTCGGCCCTCCTTGGGCTGTTTTTCTGCTGCTGGCTTTGTTCTGGCCGGCATTCTTTCTCAAGCGTCTCTAATGTAACGTCTTCCTTCCTCTCACGGCGGCCCCCCTCCTCTTCTTCAAAGCCCCCCTTTCCTGCAGAATCCCCCTCCGTTAACTCCTCTTATCTCACTTTGTCTTGGCGCAGAAAACAACTTCGAGGAGATCAGCAGAAGGAACAGTTGGTCTGCAGGGGCCATGCCTGCAGTTCCCAAAGGTACGGCTACTCTCAGGGGGGGTCAGCAGGTTTGTCCAGGTTGGCTCCACCCATCTCTGCTTTCTTCTGCCACCTTTTTAAATTAGTAGTTTCATAGAAAACCAAATTTGCTTTACCGAGTTAAAAGATTTCTGTGTATAATATGAACATTGTTAAAATACATTGTTTTTATATGGAAACTGTAGCAACAGCCTGTAGTCAATCCCTCATGGCTGTGATGTCACAACCATGAACATATTTGCATATGATCACCCATTTAGCCTACAGCAGTTTAGCCCCACCCATTCAGCCTACAGCATTTTAGCCCCACCCATTCAGGATACAGCAGTTTAGCCCCACCATTCAGCTACAGCAGTTTAACCCCCCCCATTCAGCCTACAGCAGTTTAGCCCCACCCATTCAGCCTACAGCAGTTTAACCCCACCCATTCAGCTTACAGCAGTTTAGCCCCACCCATTCATCTTACAGCAGTTTAGCCCCACCCTTTCAGTTTACAGCACTTTAACCCCACCCATTCAGCCTACAGCAGTTTAACCCCACCCATTCATCTTACAGCAGTTTAGCCCCACCCTTTCAGTTTACAGCAGTTTAGCCCCACCCATTCAGTTTACAGCACTTTAACCCCACCCATTCAGCCTACAGCAGTTTAACCCCACCCATTCATCTTACAGCAGTTTAGCCCCACCCATTCATCTTACAGCAGTTTAGCCCCACCCTTTCAGTTTACAGCAGTTTAGCCCCACCCATTCAGCCTACAGCAGTTTAGCCCCACCCATTCAGCCTACAGCAGTTTAGCCCCACACATTCATCTTACAGCAGTTTAGCCCCACCCATTCAGCCTACAGCATTTTAACCCCACCCATTCAGCCTACAGCAGTTTAACCCCACCCATTCAGCTTACAGCAGTTTAGCCCCACCCTTTCAGTTTACAGCACTTTAACCCCACCCATTCAGCCTACAGCAGTTTAACCCCACCCATTCAGCCTACAGCAGTTTAGCCCCACCCATTCAGGATACAGCAGTTTAGCCCCACCCTTTCAGTTTACAGCAGTTTAGCCCCACCCACTCAGCCTACAGCAGTTTAGCCCCACCCATTCAGTCTACAACAGTTTAGCCCCGCCCATTCTCATTGAGGTGATGTGGAGTGATGTTCCTGCAGGCAGTCTGTATCAGAGTTAATGGAGTAGAAGTAGTGAGAAACAATTGAACGTTGTGCTTTTCCTGTCTGTCAGCAAGCATGGTTTCTTAACCATGAGGCCTACACAGCTTTTTGAACGAGGGTTGGCAATCAAAGCAGCACTCATTTGCATATGGTCTTTTAAAAATGAATCATAATCAGTTAACTTTGGGCAAATATAAACCACACAATCGTTATAAGTGGACTTTAGAGGAAAGAAATGAACAGTGGAACATGAGCCCTTATATTTAGAGTGTGAACCGCTGCAGGGAGAGCTGCTGCTGCTTAGACACTTCCAGGAATTGTGCTGCACAAACAAGCAGAGGAAAAAATGATTTGGAGTTAAATACTGATTTCCCATCTGATTCGCACAGGTTCTCCAGTGGAGCCGCAGCACAACAGCAGCAGGATTACAGAACCTCCGCCGAGACCCACTCAAGGTGAACATGGCGAACTCACTCACAGTCTTACCGGTGATATGAATGCAGCAGTAGTTATGTGACAATCTGACCTGAACTTCAACCACGTCTCTGTTTTCAGACCCCTACCAAGCATTAGGCGCTATCAGCAGCCGCCTGGCCAACCCAGGTAAGAAGTAGGAATAGAATAGAATAGAATCGAACAGAATATAATACAATAGAATAGAACTGACTAAAGTCAATTGACCCAAGGGGCCATTCGTAACTGGGCCTATAAACATATACAAACACACACCAATCAGGCATAACATTACGACCACCTCCTTGTTTCTACACTCATTGTCCATTTTATCAGCTCCACTGACCATATAGTCTCACTTTGTAGTTCTACAGTTACAGACTGTAGTCCATCTGTTTCTCTGCATACTTCGTTAGCCCCCTTTTACCCTGTTCTTCAGTGGTCAGGACCCCCATGGACCCCACAGAGCAGGTACTATTTGGGTGGTGGATCATTCTCAGCACTGCAGTGACACTGACGTGGTGGTGGTGTGTTAGTGTGTGTTGTGCTGGTCTGAGTGGATCAGACACAGCAGTGCTGCTGGAGTTTTTAAACACCTCAGTGTCGCTGCTGGACTGAGAATAGTCCACCAACCAAAAATATCCAGCCAACAGTGTCCTGTGGGCAGCGTCCTGTGACCACTGATGAAGGACCAGAGGATGACCAACACAAACTGTGCAGCAGCAGATGAGCTATCGTCTCTGACTTTACATCTACAAGGTGGACTGACAAGGTAGGAGTGTCTAATAGAGTGGACAGTGAGTGGACACAGTGTTTAAAAACTCCAGCAGCACTGCTGTGTCTGATCCACTCATACCAGCACAACACACACTAACACACCACCACCACGTCAGTGTTACTGCAGTGCTGGGAATGATCCACCACCCAAATAGTACCTGCTCTGTGAGGGTCCATGGGGGTCCTGACCACTGAAGAACAGGGTAAAAGGGGGCTAACAAAGTATGCAGAGAAACAGATGGACTACAGTCTGTAACTGTAGAACTACAGAGTGAAACTATATGGTCAGTGGAGCTGATAAAGTGGACAGTGAGTGTAGAAACAAGGACGTGGTTTTAACAAAGTGGCTGTTTGGTGTATATATGCATTTACGTCACTACATTTTTTACCTCCCGGACACAAAACCATGTCCGATCAGTTACATTAGCGTTTCATAAACAGTGATAAAGATGAATCTCAACGCTGATCTTATATCAGTCGTCTCCCCATCTTCCTGTAGCTTCAGATCCACCAGCAGGTGTGAGATAGCAGAGATAAGCAGAGATTCCTCAGCAGATGATCATCTCTACACCAGCAGAATGCATCATTAAACGTGCTTCTACTTTAGTGCAATAAAAGTCTTTATGTGTTAGCTGCTTTTAAATTCGAGTTCCAGGCCTGGACAGCATCTGTACTAGAGTTCTGCATTTTCCCTGCTCCCAGATTCAGTCCAGAGGCCTTAATAATGTAGCTGAGGAGCTGAAACAGGACTGGTAGAGTCTCCATCACTGTGTATCTTTGGTGGGATTCTAAAACTGCAGAGGAGAAGCTTCACTCTGTGGTGCAATTATGATAAAATGTTTCCCAAAAAAGGCTATTTAGATTATTTCAAAGGGGAATTCCACCAATTCTGACTCGGCCAGTTTCTCTACAACAGAGCGTTTCACATCAGCCTATATGGAAAACAATATATGGACATGTATTTTTATGTATCTGAAATACATTTCAGACATGCTGCACTCAATGCTAATATACATTAGACTAAAATGTGTTTCACGATATTTTGCCATGTTAACCAAATATATTTTAAAATGCATTTATTGTAAAACGTATGTGGAAATATTACACATAGAAATGTACCATCAAAAATAAATGTGTGTAAATGTGTTTATCAAATCCATTTAAAGTTTATGAGAATATCCAGAATCCTGTCTGATGCTCTTCACTGTCTGATAGCTTTAGAAATGAGTTTGTGTTCCAGTATCTTCATTTTAAATATGATCAGATGATCCTTTAACAGGACAGAAGCGAGTGTTGTGGGTATTGATACTCTGTGAAAATGCAGTTATGATCTGATATCTTGTTTATGTGAAGTACATTGTGTGTGAGAGTCTGACTGCAGACGTACATGGTTAATATAAAGTACAGTGCAGATCAGAGAAGACAGTACGTTTAGTTACATCTGGAACCTTCATTACACTCAACTGAACACAGATAGTAACTAATATAAACTAGAAATGTCAGGATGGTTGCGCAGCTTAAATGGTTCCCACTTCCTGCTAGGTTATTGCTAGGTGGTTACTATGGTATCCCAGGTGGTTGCTAAGGTGTTGCTGGGCAGTTGCTATGGTATCCCATGCAGTTGCTTAATTGCTGTCAGGCAGTTGCCATGGTGTATGGGGTGTTTATTTAGTTGTACGTAGGGAGTTGCCAAGTGTTAGCTACGTGTTGTTGAAAATGAATAGGCCTATGAGAGGAACGAGGGATGAACAAAACAAATAGAGGAGTGCAGGTCAGTGTGGCTGTGGATCAGAGCTTGAGGACCTGCCCTGAGTGAATACATGCATTTAGTTGTCTGTTGGGCAAAAGAAATAACAGGGCTAGGGTTTGGGCAAAAATGAATGGGACTCTAAGGGAGAAATGAGGGATGGAAAAAAAAAAGACAAACAGATGAGTGCAGGTCAGAAAAACATTGAATTCCATGCTTGCGGGTCTGCCCTGAGTCTTTCAGCTGAGCAGAAGTACAGAAGTACAGTAGATGGTTGTGCAATTTTTCACCCCATTCATTCCTATGGGAAAAAAAATCGGAATTTAACGAAGATTGTATGGAATCTGTGCATCCGATCAAACAAGCCCGAATCACCCAATCGTACTAGACAATCTGGAGTTGGAATGGTGTTGATATCTCAAAAACTGTGAAACGAGTTACGTGGCAAAAATCCAGCAGAAATAGAAGAATAAAAGAGAAGAATAATATAAAACGATGAACAATATAGTTGTGCAATGCATTTTTAAAATACATTTTACAAATATTTTTTTGCCCTTTTTCATACATTGCAAAAAATATATATAACAAATACATCTGGAATATTCTTTTTTTTTTCCCCATATGGAAAAAACACTCTGAATTACTTCATCTTAACTGTTTAATTTTTCCCTTTAAAGTAGCTGATTTTCCCCCATTAGAGGGGCTGTCCAGATACTTTTGGACATATTGTTGAAATTACAGTCTTTCTGTCTGCCTGCAGGTTCCGGCCAGATCCAGCTGTGGCAGTTCCTGCTCGAGCTGCTCTCAGACAGCGGCAACGCGAGCATCATCACGTGGGAGGGAACCAACGGAGAGTTTAAAATGACCGACCCGGACGAGGTGGCGAAGCGCTGGGGCGAGAGGAAGAGCAAACCCAACATGAACTACGACAAGCTGAGCAGAGCACTGCGCTACTACTACGACAAAAACATCATGACCAAAGTGCACGGCAAGCGCTATGCCTACAAGTTCGACTTCCAGGGCATTTCCCAGACGCACCAGAGCCATACACCAGAGGGCACTGTGCTCAAGTACCAGCCGGACATGTCGTACGTACAGGGCTACCACAGCCACCAGCCTAAGGTGAACTTCATGCCTCACTCGAGCCCCATGCCCGTCTCTTCAGGCAACTATTTCTCCCCTCCCTCCACCTACTGGAACTCAGCCGCCGGAGTGGTGTACCCCAGCTCCCCGATGCCGCGACATCCGGGGACGCACTCGCATTTGAACTCTTACTACTAACAAGAAAAGCATCGTCAGACTATCCACTGCCGAGGATTTTTACTAACAGATCCACCGAGTTTATTAAGCTGCATTCACATTGCAGGGTTCTGAGTTTTTAAGAGCTGTGTGAACACTAGGGTTTCAATCCCTGACACTGAATTAGAAACAACAAATGGAAGCAGTTGAATCACCATGCTTGCTTCAGATGTACAATTTTTTTTGCCGGAAAGAAATGTGATAAATAACAATGTAATCACATTTACCGGTTTATTCAATTCAGATTCATTGCGTACACATTACAATCTGTTTTACTCAATTTGGATTTTTTGCATAAACCTGGGGATGTAGCTTTCTAGTGCCACCTAGTGCCCTGGTGGGACTCCAGTGTGAAAAAGCCTCTGCCCTGTGCACGTGCACAAACTAATCAATAACATCATGTGAACGATTCACGTCACAAACAACAACCAAGAACCAAGTCTTCAACAAACAGGATACATGTGCAGTGAAGAAACCCACATGACTTCTGATCTGATTTATTACAGATCAGACTTATTACAGTTGACATGACCATAAACCGAACACATCTCTTATCTAGAACCACATATGAAAGTGGTTTGGATCTGATTTGAAAAGATCAGACATTTGTGTTCACATAGTTCACAAAAAAATTCAATTTGTGCAGCCTTAGTCTGCGTTCACATTACAAGCTTTGGGCTCAATTCTGATTTTTTTTATCAAATCTTTTTGCCTGTTCACATTTAAAGTGAACTCATATCTATCTTTGGTGTGAACACTCCTGTGCGCTAAAAGCACCTCCTAGCATCAACTTAAAACACACAAAAGTGGCTCAAATCTGATTTAAAAGATCAGGTTTTTGTGTTCACACTGCTCTTAAATCAGATCCGTATCACATTCATGCTAAGAAACTGATTTCAACCCTGCAGTGAACGCAGCCTTAGATCTCACCTGTTGATCGGTTTGTGGCACCAAGGATGAAACCAAAAGGAGATAAAACCTATGAAAAGGACTTTTAGTGAGAAGTTCATTCAGTTCTTCTAAATACAAACATATGTTCATATCGCTTGTAGCAGTCAGAGTCAAATTCTCCATCCACATTAAATTTGTACAGCACTTGCATATTCAACACACTTACAGTAAGGGCTCAAGTGTAAATATTATTGTGTTTTGGCCTCTGTTGTATAAAAAGGGCTTTAAAAACAACATATTACCCATTTAAAATATTTCCCTGTATCATTGCTTTTTTTTTTAAGGCAAATGGCTTTGTACAGACTTTTGTGACAAATAGCCTCACACTTATGTATCATTTTTTTAAACCAATAAACATGTATCTCACTATCAGCTATACTATTTCTAGACGTTTGTCTTAACAAATCTGGAAAATCTAAAACTATATTTTTTACTGATTTGATCCACACAGAGTAAAACTCGAAATGTTTGGCTTTATCTGTTATTATGCAAACAATGAAACACCCCATACACAGCAAAATACACTTTATTATAGAGCATAAACTCTCACACACAGCTGCAACTATCCAATATGTTTATTTTCAACTATTCTACCAAATATCTTGCATATGATATAAGAGCTCAAGACATAAAATAATGGAATATTTTATTAGCTTTTAATCTTTTTCACTGCGTTATTATATTTATCATTTTCAACTATAGTCATTAATTATTACAAATACTTTAAGCTTTTTTTTTTTATTTCTGTGTGAGATGTAAACAGAGCGATTCAGAGTGGTTTGGTGTGAAATGGTTCAGATGTCTTTACAGTGGTGGTGATGGGAACCAGGGGTCGCCATGACTACAACACAAATATAGACATTTTATTTACTATCCAGAACCACCAGTGAACCTACACGAGTCTTCTGAGTTTATATGGAATGTTGATGATGGAAAATAGTGGAGAATCTGATATAATCAGTTTTCTTTGGGGACTATTTTGCCTTAGAACGCTGTGCATGTATCCCTCCACCATGAGTGGAGTTAAAGTTCTCTAAACTATCATAAAACAGTGTCTCAGTCATCAGGCAGTGAATTCATAACCATTTCATGTAGGAACTTTCTGTGAGGGAGCTTTTAGAGGTGGACGTCTGGTTCCTATCACCACCACTGTGAACAGTTCTGACTCGGTACGTTTATCTAGAACAGACCGTTGGACTGACTAGGTAGAGTTTTCTCTCCCTCTTCCCAAATTCCAGTAATTCTCCGCTGCCAGTCCAGAGTGTTTCATTCAGTGAAGCTGCAGTACTGGGAAACTTTATAAGCGTTCAGGTCATTTTTAGGCGTAAAGGAGACACAAAAAACAATGGTTCTTCAAGGGTTCCTCTATTGTGACAATGTCAAGCTTGCAACAATAGAAGAACCCTTTTTGGTGCTATATAGAATCTACACATTCTCCATCAATCTGAAGAACCATTTCATGATGCAAAGAACTGTTTAATCATGCAAAGGGTTCTTTGAGTGTTCATGGTTCTATATAGCACTGTTTTCTTCACTAAAGAACCTTTTTTTTGTGTAGACCTAAGCGCATGAGTCTCACTGTCAAAAGCGCCAGAGTTGGCAGCCCTGTGAATATGATGAATCGTGCTTAATATGACAAACATCAACTATAAGTAAAAAAGTTTGATTCAGGCTGACTTTACTGGGATTATGATTGGTATATTATAGAAACTGGAAACAAGATTAGCCTTGTTTTGTTTTTATTGACATTTGATTGGAAAGTCATTCTGCATCAGTGAATCTTCATTTATCAAGTGTCCTACTTTAAGGTCTTTAATTCAGTCCAGTCCAAACACCTCCTCAAACGTCCGGTGTGGCTCCACTGCATCCTCCTTCTGCGCTGTGGTCAGATGTTCCACTTTCACGCTCTCGTCTGTGATTTCGCCCACATACTCACCCACCTGCAGGGAGCTCTGATCACTAGTGTCCGTTCTGTTGGCTGTTGGGGAGCAGAAATTATAACAATTTAAATAATAATAAAATAAATAATGAAGCATTTGTAAAGAAAATTTAGAAAGTGCTTAACAAAAAAAATAAAGGGGTTTGTTTGGTTTTTTTCAGTTAATTCCTGACCTCTTTAATACTTTACATTTACAGTTTCTGTCAAATGTTGCAGGGCACCAGATTTCCAGAAATAGGACATTAAGGATCTTCAGAGACCCAGATTATTTAGGTTTTATTTATTGGTTTTTTTATTTTAAGCTCACATTAAAGATTAAATGTAACAGGTTTATAAAAAACATCACTAATTTAAAGCTCAGATTAAAATGAGCTTTACAAAGTTGTGCACCCAGTAAATCATTACCAAAGTAAAAAATAAATAAATCAGTTAATTATTTAAAAAACAAAAGGGATTGCTGTTTACACTCGTCACCAGTGGGGGCGCCAGAGAGACATGTCGAGTTGCAGCAGGAGCAAACAGCACTGGAGCCGTAGAGTTCCTCCCACCTACAGAGAGAAGAACCACACAGCCAAGTGCAAACCAGGACCAAGACCAGAACCAGGACCAGGACCTTCAACACAACAAAAACAGAGCGCGGTGGCGTCTCATCGTACCTGCCGCTCTTCTGGTTGTAGGTGCAGAACTTTGAGGTTGCAGTCGGAGTCGCGCTGCTGACTGTGGTTTCGCAGTGCATGTACAGCTGCTGTTGGAGGAAATAAATAAAGCTCCAAATAAACAGAGGCAGAACAGAAAACCCCAGGAGAGGAGAACCATACTGTCTGTGGGGTTCTATTACCTTAGCCAGCTTTCCCTGGAACACAAACGCTTCCACAGAAAACCTCACCACGTTCCTCCTGCTGCTCTTCAGGAACCTCGACTCACTGCTGCTCCTGCTGTCCACCATGCATCTGACCAAAATCAGAGCAGTTTAGAGAGGCTCAGAAAGGAAACAGGCACAGCATAACACTGCAAACACTCACAACCCGCTGATCCATATACAGCCTGCTCCATAAATATCTGGACAAAGGTATTTTACCCATCTACCCCAGCATCTGAGAAACCAAACAATGAATAGTAGCTTAAAGTGCTGACACTCAGCTTTAATTTGAGGGTATTTACATCCAAATTAGGTGATCAGTGCAGGAATTACAGCCATTTTCATACATATCCCCCATTTTAAGGGCTCAAAAGTAATTGGACAGCTGGCTGCTCAGCTGTTCCATGATCAGGTGTGTTTATCCTCTCATCATTATTGTCACAGGAGGCCAGACAGACGTCTTTAGACGAGCTTCTCTGTGCTGGGATTGAACGCTGCTCTCCCACGAGTAACTTAACCATTAGGCTAAACAGCCAATTATAAAACGCACAGCAGCTCAAACACTCCATTCTGAACTACACGCCGGTAAAAACACATCAAATAGGACTGTTCTCACACTCAGCATTGAATTTTAAAGAAATAAATAAATAAATTCGGTTTTTTTTGTACCTATATAACAATAAATATGTATTTATATATTTTGCAGCCGTTAAAGAAAAAGCTGTTGAAGTGATGCTGACTGTCAGTGCACAAGAGTTCTCAGTTCTGATGTAAACAGCTGTTAGCATCTTATTTCTTTTCTACTTTGCACAATAGTTAACTGTGCTTTTGTAATTTTGTATTTTGCATTTGCTTAAAGGAGAGATCAGTTAGATTTCTGTTTACACGTCCAAAAAAAGTCTGTACTTGCGTCATATCCAAGATGCAAACTATTTCCATAATAATTTATTGCGTCTCATATCATCATAGTGATATTCAGTGTCAGTATCGTACAGCCCAAATATTTATTGACTTGATCGTATCAGTAGTGTAGCTGTTCTCCAGATTAGTGTTCATGAGTCATTGAATTGTACAGTTCTATTTCTATCTTCCACACTGAGGCAGTAAAAGAAGAACTGCGCTATTTACAGATTAACACAAGCTCTAAACCACTGATTTAAAGCTGAGGGGAGAGTAAATATATCATTTTCATGTTTTCACAACACTGCCCTCCGCACTACTGACACTGCAAACAGGAATTCAGCTTGTTTAACTTTGTGTGGTGATCATTCTGACCAATCACGGCTCCAGATGAGTGTTCTGATTAATCAAAGCACCCAGGTGATTCAATAAACGTAAATAATTTTAATCAAAACAATGCCAGCCAATAGGTGTGCAGAAACTGCTTTCAGATTAATAAAAATTTTAATTTAACAGCATCAATAATCAAATGTTGGACTGAATTACAATCAAAAATATGATTAGACTAATTCAATAAATAAAGTGCGCATTTTTGCTAAATGAACTGTAAATAAAATGCTTGAGGGGTTTTATTATTATTGTTATCATCATCATCATCGCCTAAGTTTCACGACTGTGTAGACTGCTGTCCGGTCACATTTATGCATCTTGTTTATTATTCTAAAATAAACATTTGAATCATACCAACATAATCATATCATGCTCAGCTCAGAGATTTACACGTGTGTCGTTCGGGTAGACGATGTGGCAAAAATATCATATCACGATGATATTTTCATGATATGCATCATGATAATGCACTAGTAAAGCTAGTCATTAAAAACACTGATGCCAGTAAAACAATGATTTTTATTCATGCATATTCGGAGCTGCGCTACATCCAGTTAAACAGGACTCATGATATTCTATTTATAGGAAACGTGTAGCTCTGTGCTATTTAAGTGATGATGATATTCATAATATGCTCAGAAAAGCATTTCACAAATTTAACAGGATAATGACAAAACAATCGTCATATTACCCACTTCTGTATGGTTGAGTGCAAAAATATGAACGCCGTCAGTCAAATCTCAGTCACGTTATTGATTTTCTAAGTGTAAACACATCAACATCCTCTACAGAGACACTTCTGCACATTTTAATACACAGTTAGATAAGATGATCCTTTATTAGTCCCACAATGGGGAAATTCTCAGTGTTACAGCAGCAAAAGGAGAGCAAGTCACTCAGACAAGAAAAGAAGTAACAAGAAGAGAATAAACAAGCAAGTAATTAAAATCTTAATTACTTAAGGGTTTTACAGTTTGTTACTTTTACTTTATAGACAATATATATAATATTAAAAGTAAAAAATTAGATGAATATATACTCTATCCTTCACAAAAATTATCAATATAAAGGATTATAAATAAAAAAAAGCTAAAATATTTACACTGTAAGGATGTTTTACTTGAATTTCACATTGAGGTGATGGTGATGTGTTAACAATATAAACATTATAAATAGAAAAGCAAAAAATGTTTACACAAGATATTTTAAATATATTGCACATGGAGTATTGATTATATTGCACACAGGAAGTGGTGATGAATTCACATCTCAGTACCTTTAGTCAGGGAACATAACTGAACCATAATCCACTGAAATGATATGTTCTAAGCTGTACTGACTCCACACACCCCGTCTCGTCTCCAGGCTTTTATTTTACTGTTCTGTTTTAAAACATTCAGTTATGAAAAGGTACAAATACGAACTTTTCACCTGGAAAAACTTATTTAAGGTTCACAATCAGACCTTAAAACCACTGTTGTAGCTTTGAGGGAACATTTACACTGTTTGTACCTTAATGAACGAGAAATGTACCTGAACAGAACCTTTATTTCTAACAGTGTAAGCGGCAATATAAGCAGCTCACCTGCAGTCCAGGCAGATCTTACCCATAGTTGTCGATGACGCTGAGCCGCGGTGTGGAGAGGCGAGAACTGTTCATGGTCACGTGACACGAGTTCACAAATAACCTTTGATCTTCTGCAACCGACAAAACTTCCACCTCAAAGTACATGGGCTGACCGACGATATAGCCTTCAGACGAGTTCAGTCTGTTCCACTGAGCTGAAACAGAGCAGCACAAACACCCACAGCCGTCACGCTGAGACTTCACCTCAAACACCAGCAGAACGATAAAAAAACACAACAGTCTGGCAGCTTTTAGGATCAAAACCACTGCGTTACCGTCATACGCGCTCAGTGAGACGCTGCCCTTCGTCTTCATGGGTTTGAAGAGCCTCAGAGTTTCAACCTGAGGCACAAAACCGATTTTGTAGGAGTAGTGGAACCTGAAAGCAGATTTGGGTTCATTACAGCAAGGAAAGTGTTGACATTAAAGAGGATTTCCAACAATTCCGAGAGTCGTTCAGAGCGGTTTGGTGCGAAACGCTCTGTTCTAGAGAAACTGAGTCAGAATTGTTCTCAGTGTTGGTGATAGGAACCAGACGTCCACCTCAGTTCCCTTTTTGGCCATAAACTCCATTCATGGTGGAGGGATACATGCAGGGCGCTGTGAGGCAAAATAGTCCCTTATTATTTCAGTAGTAACTTATTATTTCAGATTTTCCACTATTTTCCATCATCAACATTCCATATAAACTCAGAAGACTCGTGTAGGTTCACTGGTGGTTCTGGATAGTAAATAAAATGTCTATATTTGTGTTGTAGTCTTGGCGACCCCTGGTTCCTATCACCACCACTGTAGATAATTCTGAACCATTTCACACCAAACCACTCTGAGCCACTCTGTTTACATCTCAACAATTGTTCTATGCAGAAATTCTGAAAAACGAGTGGAATTCCCCTTTAAATGTAGAGTTTTACCAATGCGAATGACCAGTTTAGACAGATATACCCATCTATGGTTTATAGCTGACTTGCTTTCTGTTACATACTTGATGTCTGCAGAATCCAGATGTTTGCAGCCAGGAAACCAGCAGGTAATAATGAGATATTTTCTTTATAGGCAGCCAAGATGATTCATAGATTTATGGACGTCTATTAGCTGTGCAAAGTCAACAGCTAGGCTTCCTGGTGTCCACATGAACATAAAACCTATTAAAACCACTGTGCCTGTCTACATGTCTATTAAACACTGCAGTATTTAATAGACGTTTAAATATTTTTAGGATGGTCTATAAATTTAGACAGTCGGCATCCACCACCGTCCAGGACTCACCTGTTGAAGTGACACTTCACAGGTACGGAGAAAGGCCTTTTTTCTGACCCCAAGGCCTCCAGAGGGGCGTAGTGGAGCGTGTTGGAATAAACCACCCTGTTATTTATTATCTGTATCCAAAAACAGGAGCAGAGAACAGGGTCAGTGTTAACATCCGGGTCAGTGTAGAACTCTGCCTGTGTGTGTCTGCCTGTCTAACTGAACTGGACTAATTCAACTCAAAGAATGAGGCTGAGTATTTATGAGTTCAGAACCAGTTCAGCTGCTTTTTAACCACATGAGGTCATTTTTCCAGGCTGAACAGACCATTTTTACAGTGTAGCATAAAAATAAGTGACCACTGATCACTTCAAACCCAAAACATTTGCACGAGAATTTTTTTTTTTAACTACACTTTTTTAATAGAGGGTTCTTCAAATGATTCTATGTAGCACCAAACAGGGTTCTTCTGTTACAAGCTGGACATCATAACAATAGCAGCAGAACCTGTTTTGGTGCTGTATAGACCACCATGCAAAGAACTGTTTAAGCATGCAATGATTCATTGAGTGTTCCTGGTTCTACACAGAACCACTGGCATTACTTTAAGGATCTTTTGTAAGAGCGCAGCACCAAAAAGAGTCCTGCAGTAACAATAAAGTGGTGCTAGACAGAACCATTTAATTCTCCATCAGTCTGAAGAACCATTTAACCATTTGGCACTCATGGTTCTAAACAGAATCATTCCTTCTACTAAAGAACCCTTGAGGAACCAGGGCTGAAAGATTAATCATATTTATATCGAAATTGCAATTTAAAAGAGCGCAATTTTTATTATAGTCTCATCAACTACACTCCTAAAAACAGATGGTTCTTCAAAAGGTTCTTCAGTAAAGAAATGGTTTTACATAGAACCATGAATACACAAAGAGCCCTTTGCATGCCTAAATGGTTCTTTGCATTGTGAAAGCGTTCTTCAGATTGATGGAGAATGTGCTGTATAAGGTTCTATATAGAACCTTTTGGAAAAGGGTTCTATATAGCACCAAAAAGGGTTCTTCTATTATGATGATGTCAAGCTTGTAAAAAGAAAAGAACCCATTTTTGGGCTATATAGAACCATATACAACATTCTCCACTTAAGCAAGTAGTGGTTCTAGACTGCACTCATTGCTCTAAGCAGAACCTTTCCCTGTACTAAAGAACCATCTTTAAGAGTGCAGCACCAAAAAAAAAAGAACCCTGCAATGCAATAGTCATGACATCAAGCTCATAACAATAAAGGAACCCTTTTTGGTGCTACACAGAACCATTTTCAATAAGGTTCTATACAGAACAATTTAAAACACATTGTCCACCAATCTGAAGAACCATGTCACCATGCACAGAACCATTTAAGCATGAAATGGTTCTATATGGGACTCCTGGTTCCAAACAGAACCATTTCCTTTTATTGAAGAACCATCAAGGTGTGGCTAAAATCAGTTCAAAGAGAAAGAGCGTCTTCGCTCAGGAGCGCGCGGATGTTCTACCTCTCTTTTGGTTCCACACTGGTGGAGATCATGAAGGAAGACGAGATGCTTCTTTGTTGACCAGCTCACATCGCACGTGCCCAGCCTGAGCCCCTCAGCGGAGCCCACCGTCTCTCTGGGGACCTTCACGCGCATCTGTGTGGCGCTGCAAGCCACGCGCAAGCGGTTCCGCCCGTTCTCAGCGCCGCTCGAGCGCGCGGGCGCTGGAGGGGGAACCAGCACGTTCCTCACGCGCTCGGGAAGCTTCTCGAGCCCCGAGCCGCGCGCTGGGGAGAAGTGGGCTTTGTCCAGCAGAGGAACCCTGGAGTGCAGGAAGACCGGGAGGTGCAGGTATGGCGGACCGAGCTGCCTCTCTTGGTTGACCCGGAGCTCCGGCAGCGCGAGCTCGGCCCAGACGCTCGAGCCTTCTTCGGCACGCGCGCACGGAGAAAGCAAGCCTAATAACACGCACACCGAGGGGAGAATCAGACCCATACCGGGCTCGGAACACTCTGAGGACTCAGACAGGGGCACGGCGGAACACGGGCCTCTATAACTAACTGGTATCCCACAATGCCTCGGGGTTGGCGGGAATTATGGTGCACGTGCAGCGTTTTCCCTTTGTAGAAGCATGCACTTTGAGTGGGCAGGCAGGAAGCAATACCCTCCAGAAAGAACCCACAGAACCCAATAAGTGTGTTTGTTGGTTCCTGATGGTTTTGTGATGTGCTTTGGCTTTTTAATGGGTTGATATCACAACATAAAGGATCCTAACGGTGTAACAGGTGAACAGCAGCAGGTTCTAAATGCATTTAATGTTTCCTAACGCAAACCGTAGCAGAACAACAGCAGAACCCTTTTTGGTGTATTTACATTTACGGCATTTGGCTGACGCTCCTATCCAGAGCGATGTACAGAGTGACCATTTTACACAGGCAGGTGAAGGTGGTGTTGGGAGTCTTGCCCAAGGACCCTTACTGGTATAGTGTAGGGTGTTTGCCCAGGTGGGGGGTTGGACCCCAGTCTACAGCGCAGAGGGCAGAGGTGTTATTCACTACACTATACCAACCACATATAGGGTATATAGAACCCAAAGAACCATTTAAGCATGCAAGTGGCTCCTTGAGTACTCACGGTTCTATGTAGAACTATTTTCTTTACTAAAGAACCATCTTTATTAAGAGTGAACCCTACAGTTGTATGCGAAGGTTTGGGCACCCCTGGCCAAACGACATTTTTGTTTGTTTTTTTTCTTTGAAGTTAAATGGTATCAATGCAGTTACTTTATATTGGATAGATAGATAGATAGATAGATAGATAGATAGACAGACAAAGCAAGCAGTAATTGTGGCATGTGCAAAAGTTTAGGCACCCTACCAAGTCATTATTTGGAATTTATACTTTTTAAAAATGTAGAAATATAAACCATCTCAGCTCGGACACCTGACATCCCGCTCTCTCACTGCGTCATGCTACTCGAGTTGCACCACCTCCATGAAGCACTGGTTAACCTGTGCATGCATTGTGCCGTTAACACCCGAGGCCACTGCTAACGAGGTTAGCGGGCTGGTAGCGAAGCCTGTGAGAGGAAAGCAGCTGGCCTGGAGATTCAGATTTTACAGCGTATGAAGCCAAAAATGTGCTTTCAACACAGGAGTCAGGCATGGATTTTCAGAACAACTTTTTAGCCCTGCCCCTCTCCTCCCCACAGGGTGAAGCTTCCAGTGTTCGCTGTTGATTACTGCCAAAGCTCCGGAGTCCAAAAAATGGTATCCAGCACAGCCCCAGCGAACGTTCACCGACTCTTTCATGCAGAAAACTTCTAGTTCTGCGACTCTGTTGGTCATCTACTCACAGACTTTCAAAGCAGTTAAGGGTCAGATTACTGTTCAGTTCCAAAAGCTTCAGCTCAAAGTAGCTCATGGTGGATTTTGTGGTGTTTTTGAGCGTCGGTCAGCCTCTTTTTGGCAGTTTCTTAACTGTCACACTTACTACCAAAATGTGCTAATATTTGGTGGAATCTATTCTTTCATCTACCTCTGTAATATTTCTGTGTCCCTGGCTGCCACACAACCCCAAAGCATAATAGATCTACCCTTAACTGAACAGTTAACAAGGTGTTCCTTTCATCAGATGCTGCTCTTTGTTTCCCTTTCAAGCATACCTTTGGTGATTGTGACCAACAAATTTAGCTTTTACTTTATTAGTCCACAGAACTTGAATGCAGCTGTAGTCCCTCCCACCTTCAAGATGCATCAGAAGGGTTTTTTCTTAGATTATACATTTTCTTAATTAGAAACTCTCTAATTGTGGCAAAGCTTTAGGAGGATAACAGACACCTTTACAACAAACAATGTTTAAATTGTGTCATTTTGGCCACAGTACTCCTTTAATGATTGTCTATTGATGGACCTGAACGCTTAATCAATCAATGAAGGTCTTTAGGTCATTTGTAACCCCCCCCCCTTTAAAGTCTCCAAACCAGGGGTGCTGCATAAATGCTCTAACAGGAGCACTGCTTAATGTAAAGACTCTACACTCTACTTGTCACAAAGACAGAACTTTATTATGAGAGAAATGATGTTTTTCTCTATAAGAGCAGTGCAGCAGAGCTCCAGAAATGTTCTTAGGAGAAGACACAGGAACATAAGAACACAAAATAAAGGTCCCAAGACATTCTTTTGGTTTGGATGTACAGTTTCAGGACAAACGCCAGTGGTATAGGACCATATGTTATGTGGAGGTTCTTTAAATTTAGTTTTCCTATACATCATGCTATACAAATACTTCTTTAAAGAACCTTCCATTGAAAGGACCGTAACACATTCACACCTGGAATAAGACCATGTTGACGCAGAAACGGAAGAGCTCCATCACTGCGGTCTTTGCAGGTCACTGGTGATCTTCACTCCACTCAGCAGGTTCATGCTGAGCTCTTAGAAAAGTGTCTTCTTCTATCAGCTCTGGCTCGTCTGTGTCCTCCGCAGACGTACTAGCTTCAACACCCTCGGGTTTCTCTGTTGCAGCGATGGAACTTGCTTTTCCAGAAACGTGGTTCCAGTTTTTCTGCGAGAGCTTTCTAAAACGGCCCATCTCCTTCTTCCTCACAGTGCCTGGCACTGATCTCATCATCCCCTCTTCTCTTTTCTCTTCTGCAGGAAGCCACTCGTTCCAGGCAGGTGCTTTGCTGACCTCCTCCTCCTCCTCCTCCTTTCTGACCGGGCTGGTGTTTAGTCCTGACCAGGTTAGCACCTGCTGCACTGCACGCTCATCGTCCACCTCTGCATGCTCAACGTCCACCTCTGTAGGGCTCAGGCTTTCCTCAACTCCACCCTGAAAAACCTCCTCCTCCTGCTCTTCAGCATCTTTCTGGAGGAACTTCACCTGCAAGCAGGAATCAGAAGATAAGAACATCTCATCATGATGACATCATACCAACATCATCACAGTTTACATTAATGTTGAGATGCTGTTACAGGCCGCAAATCATGGTTTCAAAACACATTGCTGCTGTCGGTACAAAAACCTTGTGTCTCCAAAATGGTAACTTTCCAGGAGAAGGAAAAAAAACATACTTTACTTTTAATGTAAGTCAATGGAACCAGACTTTTTTTAAAAGTACATTTTGGCCATTTCTGTTTGAACATCATGAAATTCACATACAATGTAAAGAGCAACAGGTCTATCAAAACTGTCAAACTGAAAAATGACTAAAATATGCAAGACATGTAGTTAACTTAATGAAACAATCCCCGTCATTACTACTATTTACTGATTATAATTGTGTCAGAGTACAGCTGCACAAATGCACTTTTACTGTCCAGAGTACAGCTGCACAAATGCACTTGTACCACCCAGATTATAGCTGCACAAATGCACTTGTACCACCCAGATTACAGCTGCACAAATGCACTTGTACCACCCAGATTATAGCTGCACAAATGCACTTCTACCACCCAGACTATAGCTGCACAAATGCACTTTTACTGTCCAGACTATAGCTGCACAAATGCACTTGTACCACCCAGATTATAGCTGCACAAAAGCACATTTACTGCCCAGATTATCGCTGCATAAACTTATGTTTACTGTCCAGATTATAGCTGCATCTTCAGATTATAGCTACATTAACACGTGTTTACTGTTCAGATTATAGCTGTGTAAACTCTTCTCTTCTATATGTAACCACTCGTTCCAGTCAGGTGCTTTGCTGACCTCCTCCTCCTTCCTGACCGGGCTTATGTTTAGTCCTGGCCAGGTTAGAACCTGCTGCACTGTATTCTCATCGTCCACCTCTGCAGGGCTCAGGCTTTCCTCAACTCCACCCTGAAAAACCTCCTCCTTCTCCTCTTCTGTGTGTTTCTGGAGGAACTTCACTTGAATGTTGCTCTGCAAGCAGGAATGAGAAGATATGAACATCATCATGATGACATCATACCAATATTATCACAGTTTACAGAAATGTGATGCTGTTACAGGGAGCAGATCATTTTTCTCACTGTTTTTTTTTAATAAGAGTTTAAAACATAAGACAAGTGCAAGAAAACAATGTTTACTGTCCAGATTACAGCTGCATACACACACACACTGACTGGTTAGATTACAAATACGCAAACACACGTTTACTGTCCAGATTATAGCTGCGTAAACACATGTTAACTGTCCAGATTATACTTGCATCTTCAGATTATAACTGCATTAACACGTTTACTGTTCAGATTATAGCTGTGAAAACAAATTTCTGTAAGTAACTCATTCCAGTCAGGTGCTTTGCTGACCTCCTCCTCCTTTCTGACCGGGCTTATGTTTAGTCCTGACCAGGTTAGAACCTGCTGCACTGTATTCTCATCGTCCACCTCTGCAGGGCTCAGGCTTTCCTCAACTCCACCCTGAAAAACCTCCTCCTCCTCCTCCTGCTCCTCAGTGTGTTTCTGGAGGAACTTCACCTGAACGTTGCCCTGCAAGCAGGAACAAGAAGATATGAACATCATGATGACATCATACCAACATCATCACAGTTTGCAGAAATGTTGTGATGCTGTTACAGGGAGCAGATCATGGAAAACCATTTCTCACTTTTTTTTAAATAAGATTTAGTAGGATGTGTCCTTTAAAACATGCAAGACAACAGTTAACTTAATGAAACTATCCCCATCATTGCTACTATTTACTGATTACTACAACTGTGTCAGATTATAGCTGTGTAAACATGCATACACTCCAGATTATAGCTGTGCAAATGCATATTTACTGTTCAGATTATAGCTGTGAAAACACTTTCACTGTCCAGATTATAGTATACTGTATACTGTTCAGATTATAGCAGCATAAACATACATTTACTGTCCAATTTAGTTGCACAAACAGTTACTGTCCAGATTATAGCAGCATAAACATACATTTACTGTCCAATTTAGTTGCGCAAACAGTTACTGTCCGGATTATAGCAGCATAAACATGCAGTTACTTTCCAGATTATAGCTGCATAAATGCAAATTCTCTGTCCAGATTATCACTGTGTATTTAGATTATAACTGCATAAACATGTTTACTTTTTAGTTTATAGCTGTGAAAGTGTGTTTACTGTTCAGATTACAGCTGTGCAAATGCAAATTTACTGTCAAAGTCGCTGCATATTTAGATTATATCTGTAAAAACATGTTTACTATTCAGATTATAATTGAAAGTGTGTTTACGGTTCAGATTACAGATGTGTTAAATAAAATTTTACTGTTTACTTCCACACTTTTTAAAAAGACATGGTTATGGAAATTAAAATGATTATCATTTGGTTTTATATCGCGGAATCTTTTAATCCTGTAATCATTTTGTTTTTACCTTCAAGGTGTTCGGCCGTCCCCAGGTGTTCCCAGGTAAATGATCCCTTGTGTTAAAACTCCAGGGTTGACTGGTCACCACTGCTTGCTCAACACCGGCCAGAGAACCTCAAAAATAGAAACAAGTCATTATTGAGTGACCAACCCCAACGGACAGCTTCTTAACATGTGAAGTGTGAAAATTCTTATACATAACTTACCGAAATCCACAGCTTCACATACAGAATCACAACAAGCACACACAGAGTCATCACTGTGAAGCTCCTCCCACCTGAGAATAACACGATACACGATCTCAGGTTCTCACCAGATTCAGAAATCACTGAAATGTCAGTTTGGCCAGAAATCTAATTTACACAGCTTCCCAGCTTTCAGCCCAAATGTAACTGAGCAACCAAGACAGGTTTGGTGTCTGAAGTTTCCTGCTTTAGTTTCAGCACCAGAGTAACGACAGAGTCACCTTGTAAAGTTGCCGTGACTGAAGCTGGTCTGGAAGACTGGCGTTGAAAAGGATTCCTCCACGCCGTGCAGTTAGCAAACTAGCTAACCATAAGCAGTACTGACAGAAGCAGGAAGACAGTGCAGATAGCAGTTAGCAACCTGGCTAACTTGTCTACCCTAAACAGCAAAAACACAAATGTGAACATAATGATGACATAACTACAGACTCACAGCAGAGAGCAGCACACTGATGTAGTGTTGTTAAAAAGGAGATTCCAGCCTAAAACTACACTCTAATACGTTACGCAGAGTGCCGTGCAGTGCTGTATCCCTCAGCCTCGTCCCTGACTAAGTTCAATTTTATACTGTCTTCATTTTTTTTTTTTTTTTAAAATCGATGGTTTCTCACCACAATATCCAGCATTCATTGTGCAAATATACCATATAACCTTTGGGAATCTGTGGTGTCAGCCAATCCTGACTGCTAGCCTAGCCACTGAGCTACAGGCTAATAACCCTGACCAGCATGTGTTTTTTTCCCCAGAAGGGAAATCCAGCTAAACTAGCACTAACTTAACAAAATCATATCTGTGTTCAGCACCAAATAAACACCAGAGATGAGTTTTTACTTTTTCAGTCAGAGAAAAGAAGCCAAACTGAGGGAAGATGGCTATAGCCAAGTAGCTAACTTGCTAACTGTAGCTTTTAGCCTTCCTGATAGTGAGCATATCGATTTACTAATCTAATTTACAAAGGGTAACTAAAGAAAGGAAGGAAAATAAATAAATAAATCAGTAAACTGGACTGTGAGTGGAAAATGAGTGATAAGTGGAATTTTGTCTGATACTCTGCTTAACCACTGGTGGACCTCCCAGGAAATGCAGAGCAAAACGCCAGTGGACCGCCAGCTTTGCCATCAGTGGGCCAACAGTGGTCCACTATCCTCTTGCTTTCAGGGCTGTTGTTCTCATCTGATAGGCATTTCTGATCCATTCTCTCCACTGTAATAACGATCTGAAGACAGTTACTACAGTAATACAGCTGCAACACAGATATTCAGCTTCCTAGCAGTAGCGCTAGCAATCCGCCTTCATTCTGAATTAACAAACAAACAGCCTGATGCCAAAAATCCACCCAAAGCATCATCAGACGGGGGTTTTCTAGCCTTTAAACCAGAAAATCTCAATCTAAAGACTGCTAGCACCGCTGCAGGGGGCGAGGGCACGTTTACAGCAGGTGTAGTGATGGTTTTCATTTTGGTGCGAGTGTCCAAACTCGACACAATTTGGAGAGAAAGTGATTTAAGCATGCAGATAGCACCACGCTAATTGGTGGGGAATAAGCGTACGTTATGTGTTAGCTACATTAGCCTCGTAGCTCCAGTGCTAAAACTAAAGAAGCAAACTTGCCACCAAACAGGTCTCGGCTGATCAGGTACATTTTAATAAGGTGGGGAAGCTGTGTTTGTTTTTAGGACAAACTATCGCTTTAAGCTCATTAACACACCTCCTGATTGCTTTGTTGTAGGTGCAGGACTTCGCTGTAGGACTCACAGCATCTCTCCCGAGGAAGATTGTACAGTGCAAATAAAGCAGCTGAAAAAGCAGCAATACAGAATTATGAGTCAATAATTCTACAGTACATTCATGTTAAACTTTAAAGCACTGGAAAGAAGTTACCCTAGAAGTGATGTGGGGGAACAAAAATGTGTCGGATGAAAACCGGAGGACGTTTGACTGCCTTAAAACGAAGCGGGACCGACTTCCTGTTCTCCTGCTGTCCACCAAACACCTGAAATTCATTCAACAAATTGACAGTGTATTATATAAGTGTAATAACTGTCTGTTTTGGCGAGTAAAATAATCCTAAATCTACTCCATATGTAATATTTCTAATTATAAGCTTGCTGTAAGAAGCATTAAGCTGTAAGTGTTCTAAGTCTATTAAGACTCTTCATAAAATTCTTATTCCAATGGCAGATAAATTAGCTTATTATAAAAACATGCTCGTTGTGAGGAGATTAGATATAAGAATATCTACTTGCATAAAGAAGGAGAAAGATAAAGTGAAAAAAACAGGAGTTTCCAAAACTGGAGTTCAGAAACTGATTAAAAGCTACTGAGAAAATGTGGCTCCTAACAACCACCTGGAAGAGCTTGTCGACACCAAAACTGCCCCATCAGATAAACAGCACTTAAAGCTTTCATCTCTGAGAGAGAGGAGAAAATCAAGCTGATCAGATCTGAAAACATCCACAGGTGTTTCTGTCCATCCTTCCACTGTGAGAAGACGACTCAGCGCTGTGGGTCTGAAAGGATGTGTAGCTGATCAAGAAGAACCTCACTGAGAAAAGGAGACGGACACATCAAACAAAGAAGCTGAACGATGGACTGACCACCCCAGAGTCCAGACCTCAACACCACTGAATGTGTTTGATTACTTCAGAAAACGATCAACCAGCTTCTAAGACTGAACTTTGGAGGTGTGTCTGCAGATTCTTTGAGGAACTGAAAGTGAGTCTCCTGAACAGAATGGAAGCTGGAATAAAGGAGAAGAGTGACTCACTGAATACTAAACAGCTGAGAGTAGCTTTAGCTGTTGAGGATTCTGGGTAATTTTCTGTAAATGTGTGTTTTTTCTCCTGACACTGAAAAATGAATGGCTGTTTTGATTGTAAACTAAATAAATGGTCTCTGACTTTTGCACAGTACTGTATACTTCTGTGTAGATACTTAACTTGGATTTAACTCTTAAATTTACCTTAATTTTCCCAACGCTTGCTCTAACCTCAAGCCATAGTCCTAAACCTATCCCTGGTCTTAGTCCCCAACACTGTAGAGAATCAACCGACTTCCACAAGATTGATTTGAACAGCTGTAGATAGTGAATAATGTTCTATCCAATTGAAGTGAGACCAAATAATCTGCCAAATAAATAAGTTTGTTACGTAAAACAAGCACAAAATCAAAAAAAATTTTAAATATTCATTATTATCACAATAATCTCAAAATTAGACAATGTTAAATCATCGAACACCATGATTTCACCTTGTTTAACCATGTTTTCCGGAGCGCTCGTCTGTAAGAGCTTGATTTATCTTGATTGGCCAGATTATATTTAATTGAAGTATCTTGAATAATGTGTAAACAATATTAGTGTTTCAGAATGTACTGTTTACTCTCCAGTATATATGGAAACTAATCTGTAAAAAAAACTATTTGTGATGTCACAAAAAACATGTCCACCAATTCAGCCTATAGCCGTTTAGCCCCGCCCACTCACACTGATGTTATAAGTAGTGTTTCAGCTGGACTGCTTTCTGAATGAGGCGCAATACACGGCAACCAATCAGAAGAGCTCATTTGCATGTATCAGTCTTAAAGGCACAGTGACAATAAATGACTTAAGTGAGAGGCTGAACCATGGTCATGTACACTCAATGATTCTTCAATGGTTCTTTAGTAAAGACGATGGTTCTATATAGAACAATGAACACTCAAAGAACCATTTGCATGATTAAAGAGTTCTTTGCATCATGGTAGCGTTCTCCGAACTGATGGAGATATATGCTATAGATGGTTCTATCCAGAACCTTTTTGAAAAGCATCCTCTATGTAGCACCAAGAAGGGTTCTTCTATTGTTCTGATGTCAAGCTTGTCATAATAGAAGATCCCCTTTTGGTGCTATAAAGAACACTTTACGAAAAGATTCTGGATAGAACCATATAAACACACATTTTCATCAATATGGAGAACTCTATCATGAGGGAAAGAACCCTTTAATCATGCAGTGTTTTTGAGTGCCCATGGTTCTATATAGAGCCATTTTCTTTACTAAAGAACCCATACAGACATCTCTTCTGAGAATATTCATTGGTACATAAAACCACATCAGATAATATAAATAGAGCTCAGTGGGAAGCTGTAGGATCGTGGGCCCTTTAAGAAATGTGACGCTAATCGGTGGAGAACTAGCTTCAAACTGTTTAAGCAGAAGATTACCCAGAATTGCTGATGAGGTCATGCCGTGGGGTGGAGTTTGGATCTTTGGACGCCGTCATGTGACAAGAACTGATGAAGATCGTCTCGTCCTCCGCTAAAACGTCAGCAGCAGCTTCGAAGTACAGCGGCTCCCCGAGAACAACACCTTCATTTACGGTGAGAATCTCCCATTTCTCTGCAGAGTTCACCAGAACAGAACACCAGAACCGCGTTATCATCAAACAGGCCTTCAGCCGCCCTGGAGGTCCAGCACAGTCTGAGGGTTTCCCACTCTAACACACCTGACCACCAGAACCAGGATTTTACTTCAAATAAGACTGATGTAGAATGAAAACACAAAGTTTCAAAACGTACCGTTTACTCGTCAGTCCACGCAGCTCATACACGGAAACTAAACTGCAAGACCAGCACATTTACACAGCGATCAGGCGTAACATTCTGACCACCTCCTCGTTTCTACGCTCATTGTCCATTTTATCAGCTCCACTTACTATATAGGTGCACTTTGTAGTTCTACAGTTACAGACTGTAGTCCATCTGTTTCTCTGATACTTTGTTAGCCCCCTTTTACCCTGTTCTTCAGTGGTCAGGACCCCCATGGACCCTCATAGAGCAGGTACTATTTGGGTGGTGGGTCATTCTCAGTACTGCAGTAACACTGATGTGGTGGTGTGTTAGTGTGTGTTGTGTTGGTCACACAGCAGTCCACTCACTGTCCACTCTATTAGACACTCCTACCTCGTCAGTCCACCTTGAAGATGTAAAGTCAGAGACGATAGCTCATCTGCTGCTGCACAGTTTGTGTTGGTCATCCTCTAGTCCTTCATCAGTGGTCACAGGCACTGCCCACAGGACGCTGTTGGCTGAATATTTTTGGTTGGTGGACTATTCTCAGTCCAGCAGCACTGCTGTGTCTGATCCACTCAGACCAGCACAACACACACCACCAGTGTCAGCGTCAGTGTTACTGCAGTGCTGAGAATGACCCACCACCCAAATAGTCCCTGCTCTGTGAGGGTCCATGGGGGTCCTGACCACTGAAGAACAGGGTAAAAGGGGGCTAACAAAGTATGCAGAGAAACAGATGGACTACAGTCTGTAACTGTTCCAGCCTGGACTGCTTTTTCAGTGAGACACAATTCTGGGAAGCCAATCAGAACAGAGCTCATTTACATATATGTTTTGAAACTTTAGCAATGTTTATATAGTACATCAGTTTTTTTTTTGTTTTTTTTTTTAAATAAAAGAAGAAAATTCAGTTTTGCATGATAAAGGACCTTTAAATAACCCCAGACTGTGAACCTCCATGAGCAGAACCGGACACTGAGATGAATCATAAGGTCAAATATAAATGATTAAAGATCTTATGAGTCAGTCAGACAGTGGAGAACCTCACCGTTACACACTGACATAGTGAACCTGCGTTTGGCACTCAGGGTTCTCCGGAACATCCACGGAGCGTGGGGAACGTAGCCCACTTTATAAGAATAATGAAATCTAGGAGGAAAAAACCCAACAAATTATATTAGTTAGAGGTAGAAATCGGTTTTTACACCAGAGCTTCAATAATGCTTCTCATATTTTCACAGTATTAGCTAGCTAGCGTTATATTAGTTTCAAGCTAGCTGGTTTAGCTTGCCGCTATATTGGATTTTGATGTCAGCTGTAGTTTAAACACGGACATTTTAAGCTCCAAACAGGCCTGTAAACAACATTCTTTACTTTGTAGGTGCCAGTTTTTAGTTAACACTTTATTTAAAGGGATGAACCTGGTCTGTGTCTTATTAATGTAGCGTTAGCCTGTTAGCCGCTTAGCTTTCTGCTGACCTGCTCAGTCTACTGTAGTGAGGACAGAATATATCCGGTTATAAAGAGAATATAGAGTGTAAACCAGTTCAAGTGAGTCTTTTAGGAGAAACCAGAGATGTTTAACAGGCAGTTCGTCATCTGGTTTGATTTTGCTGCTGAAAAAAAAAAATTATAGGAAACATTCAAAGTTTCTGCTGATGTCCAGTAGTCACACATGGTATTGTGTCTCTTCCTGATGGGTTGATATCACGGTGTAAAGGACTCCAATGGTTTAACAGGTGTTCTGAGTCTAATGGTAACCATTAAGCCAATTCCCATTACACAGCAAAACCATCAGGTGTCAGTCCTAATAGTTCTAATGGTCCTTTTTCAGCAGGGCAGTCTCCTCTACCCCACCACCACTGTGAGCTGAAGTCCCAACTCACACAATAAGGTTTGGTGTATTGCTCTGTATGTATTCTGTGTAAATAGTGCATTCAGTTACATTCGCATATTTAGTGTATTTTTGAAAATAATTCTGACAAAAACTACAATGGAATTGAGTTGTGTTGAAATTTAATTTTTCATAATGCACTGAACCATTTTGTTAATAATAATAATAATAATAATAATAATAATAATATAATAGAATCTACTGACATGCTAGAAGTCGTGGGATTGCAGTATGTAAATCGATTGTGAAGTGGTGTTACCTCAGGGGAGGGATTGGGACACCCACAGCTGTATAAGTTGTGAGGTGTTATCTTGTGAGTGAGGCTGAATGCTGGCCTGCGTGCTCAGGGCAAGGCAACGTAAATTATCGGAGTCCGAACGAGGCATGATAGTGGGTGATGCCACTTCCGAAGTTGTGCGGGCGTTTAACATTCCTCGATCCACAGTGTCACGTGTGTATCGTGACGCCAGTGTCTGGTTAGAATTGTCTGTACAAACAGACTAGCGACATCCACATTCAATGCAAGAGGCCCAGCACGCATTTCCCACAGGTCAGTGCAGCGTTCTTTAGGTTCCATGGGATACAGGAGCAGAAGACCCACATATATTAACACCACAACACTTGACACAGCGCCTCACCTGGGCTCGTGAGGTTGCTAACTGGACCCTAGAAGACTGGCAACATGTGGCCCGGTCTGATGAGCCACGGTACCAAGGGGTTTGTGTGCGGTGCAGACCCCATGAAGCCATGGACCCCAGTTGTCAGCAAGGCACTGTGCAGGCTGGTGGTTCCATACTGGTGTGGGGTGTGTTCTCATGGCATGGGTTGGGTCCACTGGCCTGCCTAAGCACGTCATTGACCAGTGACCGCTATGTTTCACTGACTGTTGACCACTTGCAGCCCTTCATGGATTTCATGTATCGCCACAGTGATGGGACATTCCAGCAGGATAATGCACCGTGACGTCGGGCCCAAATTGTCCCAGATTGGTTTGAGGAGCATTCTGGAGAGTTCTGACGGATGGTGTGGCCTGCAGGTTCACCCCAGTCGAGCTTTTATGGGATGTGGTGGAGAGGAACATTCGCACCAGAGATCCTGCACCTACAAACACCACAGAGCTGTGTGTGGCTGTTCAGACGACACGACTCAACATCCCTCCAGACGTCTTCCGTCCAACTGTGGAAATCAATGCTACGTCGAGTTGCCGCACTTCACTGGGCTAAAGGGGGTCCTACACGATACCAGCTCCTGTCCCATGACTTTTGGCATGTCAGTGTCATTAAGAGGTTGGAGACTTTGCTGATATAGTGCAGTTTTACCTGTTATACAGACACTGGATGGGCAGCGTTAGCGGCATTACTCTGATCACCTCCTCCTCCTCGTCCTCCGGACCTGCTGGCCTGAACTCAACACTGTTGGAATAGACGACGTGGCCTCCAACCGTCTGAGGAGAAACACATTCACTCAGCACTGAGACGCTCTGAAGCTCTTAATGGCATTTAAGAGCAGATAGTAGCTCCCTTTACCAACATCCAGGCACAGCTGTGCTGCCCAGTACGCTCCTAAAAAGATGGTTCTTCAAGGGTTCTTTAGTAAAGAAAATGGTTTTATATGAAACCATGACCACTCAAAGATCCCTTTGAATGATTAAAGGGTTTTTGCACCATTAAATAGTTCTTCAAATTGATAAAGAATGTGCTGTAGATGGTTCTATATAGAACATTTTTGAAAAGGGCTCTGTATAGCACCAACAAGGGTTCTCTCCATCAATATGAAGAACGCTTTCATAATGCAAAGAATACTTTAATCATGTAAAGGGTTCATTAAGTGCTCATGGTTTCATATAAAACCACTCTTCACTAAAAGAACCCTTGAAGAATCCAGTGCACTTCCATAGGAGAACTCAGCACAGGAGTTTTTGGACTCCAGCTTGTGCTTGGAGCTTACCTCTACCAGAGTCATTATTTAAGCAACAGTACCTTGCTAAAAAGGGAACTCCACTGAGTTTTTAAAATTTCTGCACAATTAAGTGGTTAAGATGTAAACAGAGCAGTTCAGAGTGGTTTGGTGTGAAACGCTCTGTTCTAGATAATCTTACCGAGTCAGAACTGTTCACAGTGGTGGTGATAGGAACCAGACGTCCACCTCTAAAAGCTCCCTCACAGAAAGTTCCTACATGAAATGGTTATGAATTCACTGCCTGATGACTGAGACACTGTTTTATGATAGTTTAGAGAACTTAAACTCCGTTCATGGTGGAGGGATACATGCAGGGCGCTGTGAGGCAAAATAGTCCCCAAAGAAAACTTATTATTTCTGATTTTCCACTATTTTCCATCATCAACATTCCATATAAACTCAGAAGACTCGTGTAGGTTCACTGGTGGTTCTGGATAGTAAATAAAATGTCTATATTTGTGTTGTAGTCATGGCGACCCCTGGTTCCTATCACCACCACTGTAAAGAAACCTGAACCATTTCACACCAAACCACTCTGACTGACCACATCCAAGCAGTGGAAAAGTTTCATTAAAAACCCAAATATTGGTTTTACCATTGAAGATGTACATAACTCTGGTTTGGAGGTCTGTATTCAGCATTATTCTTTGCATCTCCTTACCTTTAATGAACTACCACAGTCATTGAGGTCATAGTAGAAGTAGAGGTAGTGTCCCACGGAGCGAGATACCGGACACGTCCCCAGGTAAAAGTCAGAATCTGCACCTTTAACCCCGATCCTTGCTGTATTTATGCGAACAGAAACTTTCCTGTAGCCACACCACACCTCCACACCGTGTTTATTGTCCACAGGAGCCACCTGGATGTGCTGTGGATGACCTTGAGGGACTAAAATGTTGGTTAAAGTGCTCTGAAAGGTTCTCCTACCAGCCACTGGTCTGAAATGCTCTTTGTTAACAAATGGAGCTGCTGCATGTCTAAACATTGGAAGAAAGAGATGAGGAGGCACCAGATGTTGCGTATGCTGGACAAACTCACTGTCCCTCATCTTTGGCCTGAGCTCAATGGGAAACTCCTGCTTGGTGGATCGGAAAGGGCTGAACTGGTGATGATTCTTCTCAGCAGTATAAGCCACAGCAATCCACAGCAAACCAAACACACACAGCGATGGACTAATACGACCCATGTTAGCGACCACAGCCGCCAAAAAAAGCAGAATGTGAAATGCTGGAGCAGCAAATTCACCAGCCTTCCTTCTGGAGACTCTGCTGGTATCCAGAGTTCAGCTTCCAGCCTAAACTAAGACACCTGTCCCAGGTAATCAGTGGGTTCCGTCCAATTTCCCTAGTAGTTCCCTGCAAAGTGGACTACGTAGGGTGTTCAGACATTTTAAGGGAGATTCCAAACCGCAAAAACTGATTCTAGATACTCCTGCTCCTGATGTGGTTTCTGAATAATGTTCAGTTGAATTTGGTGTGTGGGAACATGACCCAGGGCAAACGTCTGAAGTGGAAGCCAACAAAAATGGAAAAAGTGTGATTTGTACTATAAACTGAGGCTCTTCTCAAAGAATAATAACTTGTTGCAGTTGTCTAATGTTGTGTTCATGACTCAGAACGAACTGGGAACTGGAAATTTTCTAGCTTTTCAGAGTGGTTTGGTGTGAAACGCTGTTTTAGAGAAACTTTCTGAGTCAGAACTGCTCACAGTGGTGGTGATAGGAACCAGACGTCCACCTCTAAAAGCTCCCTCACAGAAAGTTCCTACACGAAATGGTTATGAATTCACTGCCTGATGACTGAGACACTGTTTTATGATATGACTGTTTTGAGAAGATTTTCACCTTAAAATCCATTCACGGTGGAGGGATACATGCAGGGTGCTGAGGCAAAATAGTTATTACATGCAATGGTTATGAATACGCTGTCTGATGTCAGAGATTGGGCCTCATTCTCCAATATCTTCCTAATTTCTTTTCTAGTGTGTTCTTCAAAGTGTGCTCTTGATAAAGATCCTGAGAAAAAGTCTACATCAGATTCATGACGTGTTCTTAAAGCGCAGAACTGTTCTCACCTTTGTGCTCTTGAGTGTGTGTAGATTCTGTTCTTACCTAAGAACAAATCCCACATAAGAGAACACTGGTGAATATTTGTGAAAAGAAGGAATTTCTTCTTAAGAATGGTTGGTGAATGAGATTTATTGTTTTGTCATAGATTTCAGCTTAAAAATCCATTCATGGTGGAGAGATACCTGCAGGGTGTCGTGAAGCAAAATAGTCCTCCAAAAAAGCGTATTATTTCAGATTTATCACTATTTCACCATCAACATTCGACATAAAACTCAGAAGACACGTGTAGGTTCACTGGTGGTTCTGGACAGTAAATAGTGTCCAACTAAAATTAAAGAAAAGGGTCATTTATACTGTAAACTGAAGCTCTTCCCAAAGAATAGTAACTTGCAGTGCAGTGAACAAACACTGCCTTCATTGGAACTGGGAACTTTCCAACTCCGAGTCTCCTGCAAAGTGCGAACCTACACGTGTTTATATGGAATGTTGATGATGGTAAAATACTTTTCCACTGCTTGGATGCGATCAGTCAGAGTGGTTTGGTGTGAAATGGTTCAGATGTCTTTACAGTGGTGGTGATAGGAACCAGGGGTCGCCATGACTACAACACAAATATAGACATTTTATTTACTATCCAGAACCACCAGTGAACCTACACGAGTCTTCTGAGTTTATATGGAATGTTGATGATGGAAAATAGTGGAAAATCAGAAATAATAAGTTTTCTTTGGGGACTATTTTGCCTCACAGCTCCCTGCATGTATCCCTCCACCATGAATGGAGTTTAAGTTCTCTAAACTATCATAAAACAGTGTCTCAGTCATCAGGCAGTGAATTCATAACCATTTCATGTAGGAACTTTCTGTGAGGGAGCTTTCAGAGGTGGACGTCTGGTTCCTATCACTACCACATGCTCATATGTTTGTAGTATTTCATTCCTCCCAGAGACAATGCAGGTTTTACGTACCAACAACGGTCATAATTCATTTATTTATGACCATTTTTCAGTGTCTCTTTATCCCTTAAAATCAAACAGGTTGTTGTTGCTACTGGGCCTTTAAAACCATTATATGCAAATTAGCTCTGTTCTGATTGGCTGCCTTGTATTGTGTTCAAATTTCAAGTAGTCCAGGCTAAACTGCTGTAGACTGAAAAGGTAGATGTACGTAAATAACGTGATTTTTGTGACACTACAGATGCAGTGAATTCACAACACTTATTGATGAAGTTTCTCAGAATAAGATGCTGATCTAGGATCAGATTACTGACTTATTCGCTATGACTTTAATGACAATCAACAGACCCTAGATCAGCACTCCTGCTTTGAGAAGCTTTGTTAATATGAGGCTTGGTGTACTCCACTAAGCCTGGAAGGAAACTGCTGGAGGGCAGCTTTCTGTGAGACAGATGTTACCTGGTGTATCCTCAGGACTAATATTGGGAATTTAGACCACCACAAAGGTTTTGAGGGGGCATTTGGGCCTACAACTAGCATTTAGAAGGTTATTAGTTGTGTTAAGCAGTGTTCTGTGCAGCCTTGTGTCCCCCAGCCTCATTACTGTAACAGAATTCATGAGTTTATATTCTTTTCGTATTTTCATCCATCAAAGTGTTCTAACTACAATACCCAGCATGCACTACCACCATTGGCACCCAAAGCCAATACGTAATGGCATGAGGTTGGGCTCTGCCACTAGGGGGGGCCCAAGAGCCTATACAAAAAAGTAACAGTAGCAAAATCATGTTTTCAGGGGTCCAGTCAAGTCTTTGCGCAGGCCTGCTTGTAGATATTCAAAACTTCCTCCCACCTTCATATTACATCATCAGAAGGGGGTCTTCCTAGTCTTTTAAACCAGAAAATCCCACTCCAGACGCCAATGTAGCACCGCTTTAGGAGGCCCGGTAAGTGTTTCCAACGGATAAGCAACTTTCATATGTTTCATTTTGCCTGCAGTGGCCTTTAAGTACTATTTGGGAAGCATCTTAGATTCCAAGTTACACTTTTATATTATTGCGGACTTACTTAATCAGACATGTCTCTTCAGTCCTTGTTCTCACACACCAGATCCTTGCTGAAAAACCCATAGAAACCTTTAGGCTTTCTGTTGGTTCCTGATGGTTTTGTAATGTGTTTTGGCTTTTTAAATAGGTTGATATCACAGTGTAAAGGATTCTAATGGTTTAACAGGTGACCAATGCCTGATTCTAAAAGCATTTGATGGTTTCCAAATGAGATCTAAAGGTGTTCTACAGGAAACTAGTGGTCTCTGTTGGACAATATTAAGCCAATTCAGAAGGCAACACTAAAAGGTTTTAATCCTAATGGTCCTTTTTCAGCAGGGATAGAACTCATTACAGTTTAATTGGGTGAAACAGAGCAGGGACACACCAGGAACGTCCAGTTACACTCATGACCAGCCTAACCAAACCTGGCCTACAACACTTTTCTTTAAAGCACCTTATTTGTAAATTATATGTTTGAATGTGTGAAGAGCCTCTTAGATGGATTTATGGCACACAACGTAAAGGTTACGTACTTATTAAAGCACTTTCCTGGAACCTTGCAAGCCAAGAACCACTTATTTAGTATAGAACAGTGGTGGATCTAAATCAGGAACTTTGACCACCCAAAAAACTTTGTTCCATGACATTCTTTTGGAAGAGTTTGAGTTTGTAGAAGAAAAGGCCATTTTTCTTTACTCATTGTTGCCTTACCGATTAGATTTGTCCTCGGTCCACTTCCTCTGTGTTCACTGGACTTGTGCCTCATGACTCACCCATACAAGCGCAGCACCACTGATCTGATCCTGAACAGGCCCTTCAGTTACTTTTCAAGCAATGACTCAAAATCCACAGGATGACTGATTGTGTGAACTAACCTTGCACTGAAATTGATAAATATCTCACAGGAACAGCTCAACCATACATGCTAATGTTGTTCACAACGAATGCAAGCCAGTAGGTAACAGTTAGCACGGTTATCATTGTGCTAACTGGTTCATTTAACACCATCTCTAACATCTCTATTTTTCTTTATCATTTTTACTTTTGTTTGCACTGTTTAAAACCTCCAGCAGCCTCTTACATTGTGTTGAAACTTCATGACAAAGGGAGAAACTGGTTCAACTTAGAAAAACATCTCATCATATTAACTTCCACTCACAGTGTAAATGTTTTTCCTTCTTCTGTAAATTTACCATTTTTGAGATGTTTTGAGAATTATAGCCACAGTTTGTAATAATCGTGTAAAAGTGGCACAAAATAAACAAAGTGAGCTCCTGAGACTGCACACCAGTAAACCTTATTTAAGCTTGGCGTAGAGCAGGTCTGCACAATGTATCATTAGTTTATCGTTATCTCAATACTGGCCTTCACTATACTGATATCGCAGGAGGCGACTGAGCTCCTCACCGATCAGTGAATGTTTTGCTGGATGCTGTGAACTTCCTGAACCTCCTCATACGACCCAGATGAGCTTGTGTGTGTGTTTGTTTAGATCGGGGTTCTGCAGGCGTTCTCCACGGCATTAGACCTTTTTAACACCACTTTCAAATATAATTCATGACCCACTGTGCAGTAATCATACACCAAAATATAAAAATACTCTTCACAGTAACCTGCACTCATATCAGCATCTTTGAATGTAGTCCATCTTTATCCTAAAAGGACTAAAATTTAACAGGATATCCAAGGCCTTAATTTTTTAATATGTAATTTCAGACATATTAAAAGTTTTTAAAGGGGAACTCCAACAATGTTTCTGCATAATTCAGTGTGTGAGATGTAAACAGTGATTCAGTGTGGTTTGGTGTGAAATGGTTCAGATGTCTTCACAGTGGTGGTGATAGGAACCAGGGGTCGCCATGACTACAACACAAATATAGACATTTTATTTACTATCCAGAACCACCAGTGAACCTACACGAGTCTTCTGAGTTTATATGGAATTTTGATGATGGAAAATAGTGGAAAATCTGAAATAATAAGTTTTCTTTAGGGACTATTTTGCCTCACAGCGCCCTGCATATTATGTATCCCTCCATGAGTGGAGTTTAAGGTGAAAATCTTCTCAAAACTATCATAAAACAGTGTCTCAGTCATCAGGCAGTCAATTCATAACCATTTCATGTAGGAACTTTCTGTGAGGGAGCTTTTAGAGGTGGACGTCTGGTTCCTATCACCACCACTGTGAACAGTTCTGACTCTAGAACAGAGCGTTTCACACCAAACCACTCTGAATGTTTACAACCAATTACTTATGCAGAAATACTGGAGAACTGATGGAATTCCACTCAAAGGACTTGCAGACACCCTGTAAAATGAACGAAAGTCTTCACCAGCTCATTTCATTGTTTTGGTTAAAATAATGCAGACCAAACCATATCAAAGGTTTTGTGACACTGCAAACCACATCACTATTGCAATATGTAGCAATATAATCACAATATTATATTTTCGTTGATATTATTCAGCCCTGGTGTGGAGCACTCCTTATAAACTTTGGTAACACTTAGCTGTAGGTCAGTGTTCAGAGGGCTACATGGTACCTACAAAAGGTCTTCATGACAACCGACAAGCTTTTATAAACACTTATTTCAATAGGCATCATTTCTCATACAAGTTACACGTGCCAACCTTGAAGTCAAACTGATGTAATGACTATATTATATGGCCAAAAGTATGTGGACACCCCTCCTGATTAGTCAGTTCAGGCGCTATCAGGTGTATAAAATCAAGCACACTAGCAGTAGAAAGGATCCCACTGAAGAGTTCAGTGACTAAACATGACACTGTTTACTAGTTTGTGAAACATCTGACCTGGACAACTGTAAGTGATGTTACTGTGAGATAGAAGCATCTAGGAGCAAAAACAGCTCAGCCATGAAGCTGTAGACCACACAAACTCACAGAGCTGGGTCACCGAGTGCTGAATGCTGAATGCTCCAAACTGCCTCTGGAAGCAACAATGGCACATGACCTGAGCATCAGGAGCTTCATGAAATGAGTTTCCAAGGCCGAGCAGCTACACTCAAGCCTAAGATCACTATGTGCAATGCCAAGTGTCGGCTGGAGTGGTGTAAAGCACTACCACTGGACTCTGGATCAGTGGAAACATGTTCTCCGGAGTGATTAATCACACTTCACTATCTGGGCTTGGTGGATGCCTGGAGAACGTTACCTATTGGAATGCACAGTGCCAACAGTAAAGTTTGGTGGAGGAGGGATGATGGGCTGGGGCTGTTTTTCAGGGTTTGGGTTCTTAGTTCCAGTGAAGGGTGATGTTGATGCTGCAGCACAAAGACATGTTACACAGTTATATGGCAGCAGTTTGGGGAAGAGCCTTTCCTGTTCCAGCATGACTGAGCCCCTGGCCAGTTCGGTGTGGAGGAACTCCAGTGGCCTGCACAGAGCCCTGAGCTCAGCCCCACTGAACACCTTTGGGATGAACAAGAACAGAGATTGTGAGCCAGACCCTCTCGTCCAACATCAATGCCTGACCTCACAAATACTCTTTTGACTGAATGGGCACAGAGTGGAGGCTTTTAATGCCCATGGTTATATATAGGTGTGATGGTCAGGTGTCCATTTACTTTGGGCCATATCGTACAGGTGTTGTCAATTTGACATCAAGCAGACTTTATGACAGACAGTGCCTACTGGAATCAGCTTATGTGGTTTTGCTCTCATAAATGAGTTTAAAACAGAGACCTATTGAAGTGTTTTCAGAACTGCCGAGTGTATTTAGAGGCAGCAGATATGGAGACGACGTCCAGCTTCTCGGCAGTCCGTCCCCATCAGGCCGATGGACACCAACCCCCACTTTTCAGCGTGTAGATGCTCGTACCGAACCCCCTGGCAGTGCAACACCCGTGTGATCAACTCCTCCTGAACGTTAAGATTAGAGGCAACTTTCTCTTTAATAGAGAAACCAAAAAACTGATGATGTGATAATACTTCAGACATGATGTTTCTCATGAAGGATGACGTTGAGAGAAAAAAATACAAAGTAAAGGAGCCGCCGCCGCCGCAGCGACGGCCGATTACAAGTTTTAACCGGGTATTAACAACATAAAGGACAGCAGTCATCGTCACTGACGTGAGCAGAGTAAGGTAGTTTCGCAGGTCCTGTTGCCTGCAAGGTCGCAGGTTCGAATCCCAGTCGCAAGAAGCAGCCTTGAGAGAGAGAGAGAGACGCATTTCTTTCTTTTTCGCCCTAACCGTTAAACTGGATGAAGCATGAATGCTATGTACACAAATTACAATGGATGAAAAGATGTTCATCAGTTAATTAAATATATACGGTATTGGTCAGTCATACTGAGGCTCGCTTCAAATATGAATTCTCACAAGGTTTGAATTGTAGTGGATTTTTTCTTTTCTACACAATAACATGAGGCTTGAAACCTTTTTTTTTTTTAGCTATACATATAATTTACCCCTGCTCAAAATCTAAACCCATCCTTTCCACTCTGTCCAGCGGCTGACCAATAAATCGAGGCACTTGTTTAATACCATGTTTCCGTTACATAATAGAAATGTCAAGCTTTCACCTGTACCAAGAAAGAACGTAAACAAAAAAACAGCAGAAAACAGGTTCACTTTTTTCTTTTTTTTTTCTTTTTTTTCTTGTTAAATAGTAATAAATACATGAGATGCAGTGGTTTTATTTTTCCATTTTTTTCTGAAGCAGGAGGGTTAAAAAGTTTTTTTTTATTCATTTATTTTTATTTATTTATTTATTTTATTTATTTATCTGTTTGTTTTCTTTAGCAGCAATCCGAACATGGTTGAGAGTGGAGATAGCAGCCGAGAGAGAAGTAGTTCACTTTTTTTTCTTTTTTTTTCTTTTTTTTTGACTTGATGGCAAAACAGCACTCACAGAGTGTTGCAGAGGAGGAAGGAGGAAGGGGGAGGAAAGACGAGAGAGAGAGAGAGAGAGAGAGAGAGAGAGAGAGAATAGAGATAGAGAGAGAGAAGTTAGAGCAGGAGGGCGCGGCGGAGGAATCTCCTTCGTTTCTACAGCTTCCTCCCTCCTGCTTTTCTCGCCCGTCTCCTCTTCCTTCCAACATAAATATGGGGCCAGGAAGAAAAGGAAAGAAAAAAAAAAACAAAAACAACAAAAAAAAGAAAGAGATAAGCTAGAGAGAGAGAAAAAAGCAAAGAGAGAGTGAGAAAAAAGAGAGAGAAAAAGAGAGCAAGATTTGGCTTAGCATATCCAGAGTTAATACAAATGCGCTTTTCACCGATTCCTGTCGAAAAACAAAAGTAAGGAAAAGAAAGAAAGAGAAACGGAGCGAGAGAGAAAGAGAGAGAGACAGAGAGAGAGGGAAAACAAATAAATAAACGTGAGAAAAGAGGTGAGAAAGTCTGGTAAGGATGATGAAGAAGGCAGACTATTTTTTTTTCTGAAAAACAAACATCAGGGAAGCATTTTGGTTTTCCTTCTGGCCGAGTGTTTTGTTTGTCGTTTTTTTTTCACTTCCTCCTTTTTTTCTGTAAAGATTTAGCTAAAGGTCCCCCCTCTTCGCTTTCGGAGCGGCTCGCGTCAGCAAAATGGTTCCGCCTCCTCCTCCTCGCGTCGTTTTTCTCACCGCGGTGTGACTACGGTTTTTGTCATTTGCTTTATTTTATTCGTAAGATTTGTTTCATAGTTTGAGATATATAAGCCAGTGTGTCAAGCGAGAAAAAGACTGGAAACATAAAAAAAAAGAAAAAAAGAAACAAACAAACGAAAAAAAAAGAAGTCAATCAGTAACAAAAGTGTTTGTGTAAGTCACGGGTGAGAGAAAGTCAAATGAAAAACAACTCAATCCCATTTTGTTTGTTTGTTTGTTTTGTTTCGTGTATGCGTTGAGTGTCGTCTGTCCCTCAAAAAATAAAAACAAACCTGTATAAATAAAATAAACACGTCGAATAAATAAACCCGAAAAACAAAACAAAACAAAATAACCACCCACCTCTTTAGCTCTCCTCCCGATCCCTCCACCTCTCTCCTTCTGTAGTGATTCTTAATAAATTAAAAATGTACAATTAAACAAAAAAGAAAACATCATATAGGATCTTCTCTCCCTCTCTCTCTCCTGCTGCTTCCCTCCTCTAACACATTCATCGCTCCGATCTCGACTCACCTGGGGGCCTGGCAAACAAAACAGAATGAAAAAAAAAGCAAAAAAAAAATCTCTCGCTGCAAACCTATTCTCACATAAAATCAAATAATATAATAAGAATAACGATAAAAACAAACGTTCTGAGACTTTCTGCTCTGACTGCTCCGCCTTCCGCTCTTCTCCTTCCAAACAAAATTAAAAAAAGGAAAAATAAACCTTCCCGTTCTCCTCCCCCATGCAAAACAGAAAATAAAACAAAAAACAACCAAAATAATCCTTTGATATTTCACAAGTTTTTTCTCTGTCGTGTGGCCGTGTGTGTGTGTGGTGTGGTGTGGGTGTGTACTACGTGTGTGTGTGTGTTTATGTTTGTGTATGCGCTGTTTGTTGTTTGTTTTTAATCATTTATGTTTCTCGTTAAAATTCTTTTTTTTTTTGTATGGCTTTTGGAATTTGTTCAAGATTTATCAAGAGTTGGCCGCGCTCTGGCCGCCGCCCCCCCCGCTTCCGCACACGCCCATCATGATGGACTCTTCCGAATCCGGCCGCACGACCCCTGCTCCTCCGCCCCTCGGGGGGGCGCCGGTGAGCATCCCGCTGCCCTGGGGCGGCGGGTTGTTATTGTTGTTGCCTGGGTAACAGGGGGGGATGTAGCCCAGGCCGGAGGCAGGCACCATGCTGTCCTGAGCGGCCGGGGCTTGGGCCAGCTGTTGCTGCGAGGAGGCCGTCGGAGGCTGGGGGGGCGGAGCCAGGGCCGTTCTAGTCCGAAAGGCGGAGAGGCCCAGGTGGATGTTGGAGGATCCGTACTGACTGGAGTCCAAACTCGACGGCGGGGGCTGCACGATGGAAGACTGGGCCAGGTGGTGGTGGTGCGTTAGGCTCAGCTCGATGCTGTCCTGCATCTGCGGAGACGAGATCGGCATCAGCGTCTGGCCTTGCGGGCCCTGCGGAGTCTGACCCTGGGCCTGGCTCTGCTGCTGCTGCTGCTGTTGCTGCTGCTGCTGCTGCCGGAGCGGCCGGCCGTTGCCGTGGTGACCCCCGCCGTAGACCGGGTGGGGGTGGTGGGGGGGGTCCATCATGCCCCCCACGTTGCCGAGGAAGTGGCGGGAGTGCTGCGAGGCGGCCGGCTTGTGCAGGAGGAGCTGCGGGTACGGCGCGTCGCTGCCACTGTTCGACAGCTGGCCCAGACCGCCCTCACTGCCCGGCCAGATACGCAACTGCTGCTGGGATGGCGCCTGGAAGTGGAGGAGAGGAGAGGAGAGGAGGAGTGAAGAGAAGAGAAGAGAAGAGAAGAGAAGAGAAGAGAAGAGAAGAGAAGAGAAATGATCACATTGTATCCTAATATGCTAATAGCTACACTGTATACTGCTAAACTGTTGGCTACACTGTATATTATTATGTGACTGGCTATACTGTATACTGCTGAAATATTGGTTAGACTGTACACAGTTATGCTTCTGGCTACATTAATGGCTATTATGCCACTGGCTACACTGTACACTGCTATGCTACTGGCTACTTTGGCTATCCTCTATATGACTGTACCACTGGCTATGGTGAATGTTATTGTGCTACTGACTGTTCTGTGGACAAACAAGCAGGCATGCAAGTCCAGAGAGGAAAAAGCATCCAGTAGAGATGATAAACAGGACCGTTACCTGCGGGCTCTGCATCTCATAGTCCGTGTGAGTGACGGCGCTGTTGTAGTACCGGTTGCTGTACCGGTAATTTCGGTTGTCATTGGAAGAACCGCTAGATCCACCTAGGTTAGAGAGAGAGAGGGAAATAATATACATGTTAGAACGCCACATCGCCCCCTATGCTTCCTGTAGTGTATTACAGTCTGTCAGAGTGACTGTGTGGATCATATGAACATTATAGAGGCTTTTTAAATGAAACAGTAGAAGCCATATCGCCCCCCACACTTCCTGTAGTGCATTACAGTCTGTCAGAGTGACTGTGTGGATCATATGAACATTATAGAGGCTTTTTAAATGAAACAGTAGAAGCCATATCGCCCCCTACACTTCCTGTAGTGTATTACAGTCTGTCAGAGTGACTGTGTGGATCATATGAACATTATAGAGGCTTTTTAAATGAAACAGTAGAAGCCATATCGCCCCCTACACTTCCTGTAGTGTATTACAGTCTGTCAGAGTGACTGTGTGGATCATATGAACATTATAGAGAGCTTTTTAAATGAAACAGTAGAAGCCATATCGCCCCCTACACTTCCTGTAGTGTATTACAGTCTGTCAGAGTGACTGTGTGGATCATATGAACATTATAGAGCTTTTTAAATGAAACAGTAGAAGCCATAGCACCCCCTACACTTCCTGTAGTGTATTACAGTCTGTCAGAATGACTGTGTGGATCATATGAACATTATATAGAATTATAGGAGATTTTTATTTTTAAGTGAACAGTGTTTCCCCCCATAATTGACGTTGCTGACATCTAACCGACTTTGTCAGCTAATCACTGCAGCCCTGGTGTGGAGTGCGTACCGGAGCTGGAGACGGAGCTGGTGGTGGAGGTGGAGTGGCTGTGGTCCATGGCTGGGCTCGTTGAGGTGGAGCTGCTGGTGTTGGTGCCCTCGTCTGTCGTCTTCTTGAAGAAATTGTGCTGCAGGGCGTAAAACGGCGTGATGCGGGTCTTCGGGTCGTAGTCCAGCATGCGCAGGATCAGGTCCTTAAACTTCAGGTAGTCGCAGGGGGCATGGCCTTGCTCACCAGCCCGTCTCCCCCCGGGACCCCCGGTCTCCACCCCTAAGATCTCATGCAGCCGCCTCGTCGCTGGAGCCTTATACTCCTGTAGCGGGAGAGATTAACAACAAGCATTATTTCATCTCCAAAATTATGAGCCGATTTTACAGGTTAATATATTATTGTTCACAGATTAGTTTACTGTTAGATCACTCACATTATGCTGACTGAGAAATATAAATTGATGATAAAGATTAAAAAGATCAAATGAGGGGAAATATCAGGGGTTAACCGTAAACAAAGTTAATCAGCATAAGCATTTTTATTACTGTGAGATAAGTTAAGAGAACACAGGTAACATGATTGAGAATATGGTTAAAGAGGTAAGACAGGTGAGGTATGGTATAAGGAAAGGAAAGGGAAGGCAGGTGAAGAACAGGTGAGTTTGTGGTTTTGCTGCTTAGGCTGTGTGTTTTTGACAAAAACCTACATTAATTTAAGGAGTTCTGAGCTCAAGTCAGTCTCTCAAGCCAGACAGACGTCTGCTCATCATCACAAAGTTCGCTTAACGTGTCAAGAACCGTCGGGGAAATTCAAGGTTCTCTTGTTTACGAAGCTGTAAATGCTTCAAAGAAAACTGCTGAACAGCTTTTAAAGATGTGACACCGCGAACTTTACAAATGTTGTTCAATCCACTGTCTGTGTTTACATGCAAAGACTTTCTCCAGTCTGACCGAACACATTCCGATTATAGATGAAGACTGAGGTGTTTATTCTCACTCTACTCAACAATCTGATGAAAATCTCCGTTTACATGCTCACTACAAGTAATCCGATCTAAAATGACGCGCATGCGTAGAGAACCATTAGTGTAGACGTTACCATGACAACCAGCATCGCGTGAGTCCAGTCAGAGTGAGATGAGCAGCAGTGAGCAGCGCTTGTGTTTTTAATCACTTTAAAATGATGTCAGACTCAGGAAAACGTCCTTCACATGTCCTTATTAAAGAAGGCCGAGAGGAAGACGTCGTGTTCTGAGACACATAAGCTGGACGTCCGTCCCACCGCCGTCTTTTAAAGATCAGAGCATAAACTTCGTCTCCTCTGCAGACCAGTTTCTGCTCCGCCATGTTGAGCGGTATAAACTCTCACTATGACGCGACGAACATGATCAGAACGGACTTAAACTTTCCGATAGGGAATGTAATCAGATACAGGCGTTTACACAGATATTATTCTTCTAATTAACGGATTATTTACAGGATTACCCACCTCGATCAGTCGGATAGAAACTGTATTCCGAATGGCCTCAATCAGACTAGTCTATTCCGACTGAGGTGTTTACACGGACGTATTCTATTACGACTGAGCTATTAGTTGAATTATTAACAGATTATTAGGCTGTATGTAAACGTGGCTAATGACCATCTTTTTCTCCAAAAGATTCGCCCCGTCGCACAGAGTGGGCAGCTGTTTACAAAGCTGTGTTTCCCGTCCTCTGATGCCTATGGACGTGTGACCAGCCAATCAGAACACAACTGACAAGTCCGGATATTTGTAGCTGGATTAACGTATGACAGATATCAGAGGCTGAAGCTGAGACTAAACTGAGCTACCTTAAGTTACCCCCACGGTTCACTTGCTACCCTATAAATCCAGATTGTCGTAATCAGGTTAGAAACCACTGTTCTGAGAAACGCACTCTGGTCTGCTGACTGATAGTCGCTTAATATTCACCAGCTTCTCATATAAAAATCACATATTCTCCCACAGCCCTACATCATCTTTACACCTGCCTAGATCAATACCAGTTTTAATGAGAAGAACACTGACAGGATGTTGACAATGACGATTCAAGTACAATTAGTATAACAATAGCCATATCTCACTAGCTAGCTAAAAAAACATTCTTGGACAATTGCCCCCCAGTAACTAAGTGATGACTGGGAGAACGGTGGTCCCTCTTTATGGCAGAAGGTCATTTATTGCTGTGATTATTGTTAAAATGTTAGTCCACTTTGTACTTTGCGACTGTTGCGACCACAGCAAACAAACAGTACAGTTGACGTCGCTGCGCTGTGCGAGATGTTTTGGGGAGGGTGGTGGTGTAGGGTACGGGAGGGGGGGTGGTGTAGGGTATGGGGGGTGATTATGGAGGGTGGGGGGTGGTTAATAAGAAGCAGAGTTTTACTCACAGAGGCCGAAGGATATAGTACCTTCTTTATATCCTTGTTCTTCTTGACGGTCCACAGGCCGTCAGAGAGCTTATCAAAGTATTTGCGAGCTTTGGGGGCCTGGTCCAGCATGTGGTTCGGGGGAACCCCAAGAACCTCCACTATTTTATTCATCTGATCCACCTGAGAGAAAAATTTCCATTATATATTATCATGCTTTTGGCTAAATTGCATATGATTACGCAAATAGCTGGCAAGTGTACTTACGTGGCTATATTATCTACCATTATGCTGATGGTTAAACTGTATACTGTTTTGTATATACACAAACATGCTACTATGGCTATATTATGCCATTGTGCTATATTGGCTATATCGTAAACTGTTATACTACATGCTTTATTGTGTGCTATAGACATTATTATGTGCTACTAGCTTTACTGTGTGCTATAATGGTACTGGCTATATTGCATGCAATTATGCTATAATGGCTACATTCTATGTTTTTGTGCTATACTGACTATATTTAGTGCTATTATACTTTGCTGGCTACATTGCATGCTTTTATGCTATATTAGGTATATTGTTTACTATTATACTGCAAGCTATATTGTATGCTACTATGCTACTAGCCTTACTGTATGCTACAATGGTACTCACTATATTCAATGCTATCAAGCTACACTGGCTATATTCAATGCTATAATGCTATACTGGCTATATTCAATGTTATTCTGCCATACTGGTTATATTCAATGCTATAATGCTATACTGGCTATATTCAATGTTATTCTGCCATACTGGTTATATTCAATGCTATAATGCTACACTGGCTATATTCAATGCTGTTATGTTATACTGGTTATATTCAATGCTATAATGCTATACTGGCTATATTCAATGTTATTCTGCCATACTGGTTATATTCAATGTTATTATGCCATACTGTCTATATTCAATGCTGTTATGCTACACTGGCTATATTCAATCCCATTAAGCATTGCTGGCTATAACCAATGCTATTATTCTACACTGGCAATATTCAATGCTGTTATGCTTCACTATATTGGCTGTATCCAATGCTATTAAGCACTGTATTCTGTGCCGTTATGCTACAGGCATTACTGCATGGTATAATGGAGCTGGCCACACTGTATGGTAGTACGCTAATGGTCACACTGTATACTGTTATGCTACTTGCTTTCAGGCTGGCTGTGATGTGTAATTGCTCTGGTCTCAGTGTAAGTACCTCATTGGAGCCGCTGAACAGGGGTTCGCCCGTGTGCATCTCCACCAGGATGCAGCCCAGAGACCACATGTCTATGGCCAGATCATAGGGCATCCCCAGCAACACCTCAGGAGAGCGGTAGAACCGACTCTGGATGTACTGATAAATCTGCAACACACACAGGAGGAAAAACAGAAAGAAAATTCAACTGTTGAAGTGCAAAAGAAATGATGGTTGTCTGCATTTACATTTATGGCATTTAATATGCACTCTAATCCAGAGCGCTTTGTTGAGTCCAGCACACCCCTGAGCTAAGACCCTGCCAGATTATGTATTCCGTGATGCTCAGTGTGCCTGTGTGTTGTTTATTTGTTTATTATTTGTGCTCTGTATTGTGTACATAAACGGCAATTTCACCAAAAAGTCCCTCGCAAGTGCAAGTGTGCTTTGTCAGTTAAGCGATACAGATTCTGCTTTATGAGCGCGCAGTGACACTTTCCAGCCACTGGGGGGCAGCAGAAACTGGGCGTGAGCGAGTCAAAGAGGGTGCAGCACAGCCGCTGGGAATCCATTCTCCGGCACTTCACTGAAACCCATTTTCTCAGGGAGAGAGTCCTTGACGATGTGTGCTGATCACTATTGTGTGCTGCAGCAGGGAAAACCCTTTCTGCCCTCGGATGCATATTAGATCTCGCCCTCCGTTCACGTCCACGTCTCTCTCTCTCTCTCCGTAGAGTCCCACTGAGAGCGGTGGGTGATCAGCATCGTGAGGAAAAAGGGTGTGGAGCTCCAACACACTGAGCTGCTGCTGCTGCTAATGACCTGCTTCCTCTTACTGCCATCCATGCACACTAAAGCAGGGCTGGGCTGCCCAGGGTTCAGTACTAACCCTGATGTGTCCGAGGCTACATCGACATCAACCGGCTGAAGCGGCACAAATGTGGACATTTTATGTTAAATTTTATTGATTTATTTCAGAAATTTGTGACACATTTTCAGGTGTGTATGCATCAAAATCAGCGCCCAATTCTGCAACTCCTAGAATTTCAGGAAAAAAGCCTAGTCATTTGAGGGTGGATGTGGGTATTAGCATAAGCCCCGCCCCTCTTTGCCCACTTTACTCTGATAGGCTGCACCTAGATGCCTCCCTCTGATCGCTGACAGCGGTTTCTATGCAAGACTCCTATTATTCATTTTGGAATTATGGTATTGGAATTATTACCCCCTGAAAAACAAAGATCTTCTCACATCAGATTTGAGACACTTTAATATGTGCTCCTAGGTGGGATACATATCTGGTGCAGAGTCACTTCCAACCTGCCAAGTGTTGGTTACATACAAACACATGGTCCAGATCAGTAGCGTAGCTGCTAAAACTGGAAGCTCAACATTGTGTAGTGACTCTACAGCTGGGGCGCCTAAACTTTTGTCTCAAACGAAGTGTAATGTTTGCAGTAAGCAAAAATATAAAAATAAACAAAGTAAAGTTTTAAATCAAATTTTTAAAAATGCATTTTATAAAGTTTCTCATTAGGCTGAATGAATAACCGACTCTAAATGTAGGTATTGTGATATAAACTGAGTCTGTTCTACAGTTTCTCATTAGGCTGAATGAATAACTGACTCTAAATGTAGGTATTGTGATATAAACTGAGTCTGTTCTACAGTTTCTCATTAGGCTGAATGAATAACCGACTCTAAATGTAGGTATTGTGATATAAACTGAGTCTGTTCTACAGTTTCTCATTAGGCTGAATGAATAACTGACTCTAAATGTAGGTATTGTGATATAAACCGAGTCTGTTCTACAGTTTCTCATTAGGCTGAATGAATAACCGACTCTAAATGTAGGTATTGTGATATAAACCGAGTCTGTTCTACAGTTTCTCATTAGGCTGAATGAATAACCGACTCTAAATGTAGGTATTGTGATATAAACTGAGTCTGTTCTACAGTTTCTCATTAGGCTGAATGAATAACTGACTCTAAATGTAGGTATTGTGATATGAACTGAGTCTGTTCTACAGTTTCTCATTAGGCTGAATGAATAACTGACTCTAAATGTAGGTATTGTGATATAAACTGAGTGGGATTCTGTGAAGTTTGTCCAAACAGTAGCTGAGCGTTTCGTGGGCGGAGCCGTGGAGGTCCCGGTCACTCACCCGCTGACCGAGCTGACAGGAGCTGCCGAAGTCGACGATTTTGATGGCGCTGCGTTTGGGGTTGCACAGCAGGATGTTTTCGGGTTTGAGGTCGCAGTGGATGATGCTGAGCTCCGGCGTGGCCAGGAAGAGCAGCGCCGTGCACAGCTGCTGCGCAAACTTCCGCGTCAGGTTGAGGGAGACGCCCCGGAAGTTGGTGTTGCGGAGGAGATCGTACAGGTTGTAGGAGAGGAGCTCGAACACCAGGCAGAGATGGTTCCGGAACATGAAGTGCCTCTTCAGGTGGACTGAAAGAGAGACGGAGAGTGAAGAGAGAGAGCGTTAGAACAGAGGGAAGGAGTGCATTTCAACACACTGACTCCAAACACACGACCAAGAGATGAACTTAAAGGTGATGTATACAACATTTCAAACATCAATATAGCAGCAAACTACTATTTTCTGTGTAAAGACATAGTGGAGTAACGGCGTCCTGGTCAGAGAATGAAGCCACGCCCTCTCTCTCTCTCTCTCTCTCTCTCTGTGTGATCTGAGCTTCTCTGTTTTTTGTTTTTATAGCCGGTCTGGCTGCATGTGCATGTTAGTCCAGCCCTGTGAAAACGTCAGCCCTCCTCAGACAGTGACCGCCCACACAGCACTGCACGTGCACCATTTAAGGTGAGCTGAGGCACCTGAATGTAGCCTGGCTGCTGCACCTTTTAAGGTGGACCTAGAAATTCTAACAGGAAGCTGGTGAAAAAGAAGCAGCCTTAAGCTTCACTGAGAGCTAAAATGCATGAAAAGGGATGAGGAGGCTGCTCTGTTTCTGCTTGACAGGTGGGCGACATTAACTTATTTGTGTTGCTTCACAGAACCAATAGGTCAGTATTGTTTTGTCCTGTTTGCGAATGTTTGTCATAGCAAGTGGTTAACTTTACAGCAGGAATCGTAGCAACATTTTGCTAACCCACAAGTGAGCCAACGTCAGTTACATTACTTGCTGGGTCATCGTTCGCTCTAACATTATATCATCGTATTTGTCTGTCCAACAAGTTCAAATATCAACGACCGTTCTCAGGAACCTTATCATGCGCCTTTCAAGTATGTTTCTCAGCAGGATGTCAAATTCTTACCATGACAGAATTGTTCACAGTGGTGGTGATAGGAACCAGACGTTCACCTCTAAAAGCGTACTTTGACAAACATTATTTATTTTTTAGTCTAGTCATAGTGGAGGGATACAGGAACGGTGTTCTAAGGCAAAACAGTCCCCAAAGAAAACTTATTATTTTAGATTTTCCACTATTTTCCATCATCAACATTCCATATAAACTCAGAAGACTCGTGTAGGTTCACTGGTGGTTCTGGATAGTAAATAAAATGTCTATATTTGTGTTGTAGTCATGGCGACCCCTGGTTCCTATCACCACCACTGTACAGACATCTGAACCACTTCACACCAAAACAATCTGAATGACTTTTGTTTTTATGACATTTTAAAAAACTGGTGGAATTCCCCTTTCCCTCTAGAGGCGGTGTTGATTTATTTTGGCTCGGAAAATGTTTTACACTTTGTTTAAAAACTCCACTGGACTGTAGACTCCAGTCCTACTTTTAGCCCCCTGTTCTCAAGTGTGCACTCCATGCATGAGAGAGAACTTAATTTCTGATGAATGTTCTACTATGTTGAGTTCTAAAGAAGCAGTTTGAGACTGAATGCTGGAAGCGATCAACAGAATCAGCTGAATTCAGTTCAGGGTGAGTCACAGCAGCCACTGAGAGTCTGTGTGCTTCATTCATTTACTTATCCACCTACCTATATAGTATTTCATCTCAGTGTCGTGTTTGTTCATGAGTTCTAGTAGCCTCAGCTCGATCTGGGCCTGGTTCAGGAAGGCTTTCTTATTTTTGATGATTTTGATGGCCACCCACTCCTGCTCGTGGTGGTCATAGGCTTTCACCACCTGCAGAAAACAAACAGGATCAGTGCCGGTGTTACAGGTGAACAGCGCTTTCCTGTCACTAACCGAGAGCCCTGGAGACTCATTTGGTCGGCCATCCCATCATGCGCCGAACTCACCTGTCCGAAGGAGCCCTTGCCGATTAGCGAGTCGATCTCGTAGCGGTCCAGCCACTTTTCCCCGTTCTTCACGATGTAGTCGTAGTTGTCGTCGTCGTAGCCATCGTTGTAAACCTTTCGCTCCTTTTTGGTGCTGGAGTCCTCCGGCGGCACCTGCTGCGCCCGCCGCTTCTTCTTCGTGTAGTACACCTGCAGAAGGAGGGGTGGAGACGGAGGAGTGGAGGGAGGAATAAAGAAAGGACTCAGAAACAGCGTTTTATTCAGTGATGATTTATTTTCATACTTATTATAATCGTTTATTATAATTAAACAACAGAACTGGAGAAATTTTTGTGGATCAATACATAAACCCATCCATCCATCTACCCATCTATCCATCCATCTGTCCATTTATCTACTAGTCTATCCACCCATCCATGTCTTCCTCTCTAACTATCCATCTGTTTATCTGTCTATCCACCTATCTACCTCTCTAACTATCCATACATCTATTATCTATTTATCTATCCATATGTCTATATATCTGTTTATCCATCCATCCATCCATATATGTATCTACCTGTCTATCCCTCCATATATCTATTCATCTATTTATCTAAACAGCCCAAAATTTTTTTTACTAATTTTTTGACGCCACAGTTGCAGTTGATTTATTTTCCTTTTTATATAACGTGACACAAAGTTCTCATTTAAGAGAAACGAGGTTTGTGTGTTAAAGTAGTTTGAAGGTTTTCTTAAGATCTTTCGTTTTGAACTGACCTCATTGATGTGCTTGTAAGTCTTGATGAGGTCGACGGAGAGCTTTCTCAGCGGGGCGCTGGCTGGGTCTCGAAAACTCGGGGGGATCCTCCTCTGCAGTATGGTCATCTCAGACAGCACCTGACCAGGTGAGACACGACAGAGGTGGTCAAAGGTGGAAATAATCGTGGAAATAATTGGAAATAATTGTTCCACAAGCAGACAGTTTTTGGGGAGAGCACTGCTGTGGAAAGAAAGCGCTGCTCTTCACCGCCGAACATTTCTGCAAACCTGCATGCAGAAAAGTGCCGTATGGAATTGTGCAGCTGATCCACAGTTCGGACGGAATTCTTTTGTGTGAAAGCAAACCAGTGATAATGACCCCACAACGAGCCCAGAATCAAGTGTGAAAACACCCATATTAAATATGACAGTAATTGTGTATTAAAATGTGCACAAGTGTGTTCTCTTTAGAGGATGTGTTAACTTATTCACACACAACGTAGGCCGACCAAGGGCGCACAAACTTTTGCATACAACTGTATGTGAACCGTTTTACGTCAAATATTAAAAAGTGATCAGAAAATTAAAACAAGTGTGAATCTGAATCTGAGTTTAACCTGATCAATATTTTGGAGAATATTAGTTTGACGGTGCAAACGATGTTGACTTCTGGATTAGTTTAAATAAATAAATAAATGATTGATTATATAGATATTGACCGAGCAAGTCTTCATTTTAATTGGGATTCTCTGGTCCAAAGTGAATGCAGCACAACTCAGATGACTGACAAATTAAAAAATGTAGGATTTATGTGAGATTCCGGAAATATATGAACAAAAAAAATAAAAATAAGACAAACAATATGAAAGTGTGTGTTGTACTGAATGTACAGGTGTGTGTGTGTGTGTGTGTGTGTGTGTGTGTGTGTGTGTGTGTGTGTACCTGCTGCTGTTCAGCCATGGACTGGATGTTGCTGAAGGGGGGGTGTGTGTGCTGGCTGGTCATGGTGAGCTCAGCGGGGGAGTAGCCGGGAGCAGGCTGGCAGAGGGAAGAGGAGGGGGGGGGCTTGCATCCTGAGCTGCTTCCACCTGAGAGAGAGAGAGAGAGCGAGAGAGAGAGAGAGAGAGAGAGAGAGAGAGAGAGAGAGAGAGAGTTATAGAACGCACTGTACCATGGAGGATCACATTCACACAAGCCTTCATGCAGAAGCTGCACATTACAGTGAAACATCCATAAACCTACAGTCAATTAGCGTCACAGATTACAGCAACAGTCCGGCAAAACATCACGTTCACCAAACTTTACTTAGTCTGGGGAAAAAATTAAGACAAAATATGTTCCACATACAGTCAGGATGAACGAACGCGCCAAAAATGAACTTTTGAACAGAAAATGAACAGCAAAGCCTGTCCCGGCTGATCCACTGCATGTAGGACTGACGGCAGCGCTGGGCAGTATGGCCAAAACAGAACACATAATATAAATATAACAATACATACAACAGGGCATCAGTGTGGAACACAGTTTGGTGGGGTTTAGTAAGTCTGAACACGGAGTGGAGCTGTGTTTAAACTGTACCATCAACAACTCTGAACACAGTGATTTTACTCAACAGGTCACACAGCTCTGCTCTGAACCCAGTTAAACCGACTGACTAAGCTCTCAGTGATGAAACGCGCAGTCGGTCAGCGTTACATACTGACTTTATCCTCCGGGTGGTCAGAAAAGCACACTGAGGATGTCAGGATGATGTTGATAAAAAAAAAGTGTAAATTTGATTTTTGGCTAAAATATTACATTTAACCATGTAAACTCTTACGAGTCTGTATGAAGGTCCACACTTCAGTTCCTCACTACAGAACTGACATTAATTTCATAGCAGATACTGGATATTTCATAGTATGTACTCGAAATAAACTGTAGTAGGTACTAATAATTCATAATAAATACTGAATAATCCATAGGATATACTTAATATTTACAGTATATACTTAGTAATTATTAATAAATATGGAATAATTCACAGTAGATACTAATAATTCATAATAAATACTGAAGAATTTATAGTAAATACTAAATATTCACTGTAGACAGGACGTCCTTATTTGGGCGTGTCTTTAATTACAGATTATGACTGCATAATGAGGTGGGGGTGGGCAATACGGCAAAAATATTATGTCATGATACTTCGAGATACTTTCATGACACACAGCATCCCAGTATTGCTTTAGTGAGATCTGAAAAAGTGCCACATATAAAAAATACCACAATAAACCTCCAACTACAGCGATTTTTACTCAATGTTTTACAAACTGAGCTGCACTGAATCTAATTAAACAGGACTAATTAAGCTCACTTTGTAATAAAACACGCAGTCAGTGTTCAGTAGGCGCTGACGATACCCGCGATACGCTTAGAAAACAGTATTGTGAGATAATTTATCGCGATAATGATAAAATATTGCCCAGCCTTACTCAGAGATGTGTCCATAGTGGCTCAGGTTAACAGTAACTGAGTAATAATAACTGATGCTGAGCTGCAGTGAGGCTGGTGGATTACACAGTCTGAGATCTGTTCCGTTTCACTCCGACCCTCAGAAAACTCACTGCAGTCGACTGCATGTCACCATGACACCAACACTGAGGCAGCGTCCCAGCGTGAACACAGCCTGACCGGACAGCCGTGTGTTAGCGCAGCTCTGTAGCACTGCATCCAAACCACCAGGACGTTAGCATTAGCATTAGGCTATTGGTATATTAGGCCACACATCCTGCTGAGAGTCTCAGAACCATTAAAATACAACATTACAACCAGAGACGTTATAAAAGAGGAGACTGACCACTGGTTGAAATATGAATGGGAAAACTCGTAACACTCAACATGGTGTCTGATTGTGGATAAAGTCCCGCCCTTCAGTAAAAAGAGCCAATCAGCTTGCTGGTTATGGCACAAGTGGGAAAAGCCCCTCTTGATATGGAGATCTGCGCATGCACAGTAGCCAGAAAACTAGAAAAAGGAGGTTTTCAATTAAATTAAATTGTTTTTGTCAGATTTTTTCAGTGATTTCAAATCTGTTTTTGTAAAACGGTAACTGGGCCTTCAGTTCCGAGTATGTTGGTCTCTCTTCATTCAGAGAGAGAACGGTCTAGTCTTGTATGAGTGAAGTAACTGCCCAGCAGCGTTACAAAGATAGCCACCGAATGACCAGACTCTCCTATAAGGACTTTGACAGGACTACAGCTACTAGTGGTGTAAATCTCTCACACAGTTGATTTAGTTCTTTAGGAAACGGTTTAATGCATCAACTGTCCAGTTTGACCACGATTCAGTTTTTCCAAAAATTGCCAAACTGCCAAAATGTTTTATTGTTTATGTTCCACTATAATAGTGTAAATAGTTAATCCAGTTACTTTTCGTTACAAAACGCATAACAGCCCATGTTCCAGAATTTTTTCCCATCATATACATCGTTGGAAGTCTTGCTTTACACATAAAAGAAATGTCAATGCTTTTATTATGATTAATGTCACCTTTAAAAATTACGTGTCAACTGTTATTCTAACTTTAAAATGTGTTGTATCTTATTAAAACAGTTTTGGATCTAAACTCCTTTTTTCCAGTGCATTTTCAGAAAGAATTCTGAACTAGGGTTGGGCAAAACGACCATATTTTATTGTTATCGTGATGCACAGCATGCCTTCCTGAGCACATGGTGGAACTTAAAGAACCCTGACCATCTGCATGTTTCATTACAAACAGACCATAATCAGTCCAGTTTAACTGGACTTAGTGCTGTATGTAAATAACGTTGAATAAGAATCATTGTATTCATTTCTTTATGGCACTTTTTAAATGTGACACTACTAACACAATGTATGTGCATCAAATTATCATTAAAATTTCTTTATCATGATGCAAAATGTTTCCCATATCGCCCACCCCCATTCCAAACTATAACAAACTACTGAACCCAACTGAATCAAACTGTGCTGAAGTCGGAGATTTAAGACTTTTTATACAATATTTATTTATATTAAGGTGGTTTACTTGTGTACTTTTTTCAAACATCAATAAATAAATAAAAACTGATAACAGAATTTTATAAATGTTGCTATCTTGCAAACCAAACATGATCTTTGCGACTGTATTTCTTTTTTCTCTGTTGGAGTTTTGCAAATTTTCACCAGCACCAATCACAGCTGTCTCTGCTGTTGGCAAGGCAACAACCAAGCTGTTTGCCCTTATTTTTGTGTTGCTTATTCAACGTGTAATGACCTTTAGGGAGGCACTTTCATAAAGAACCAACTGAATGTAATCACTGTGAGGTCAGAGGTCGGGCCGAAAGATTAATCGTCTTTATAAATCGCAATTTGAAAGAGTAAAATTTTCAAATCGCAAGTGCTGCTTTAGATGAATTTGACCAATCAGAAGCAACCAAACTGTGACATCACAACCACAAACAACTGGCAGGCTGGTACACTGTTTTAAGTGTTCAAGCCTTAAGCCAGAAAAAAAGGATTCGCTGGTCTTCTTGGCCAAATAAAGCCCATAAGACAATTCAATCAAAATCGCAATACTGGACAAAAAGATCGCAATAAGATATTCTGCCAAAATCGTTCAGCCCTGGTCAGAAAGTGGAACGCCAAAGAACTCATCACTTTTACATGAAAATTTCGATATTTTCAATTTTCAAATCGCACGAGCTGCAGTTTTATTTACATCCCACATTTTTTCAACACTGTCTTTGTTTATATGGGAAGTTTAACTTTATAACTACCGTTCTGGCGCACTACATTCAGAGCGAGAGGGTGTGTGTGGGGGGGTAAACATAAGGTCCTGTAGAACACAGAACCAGAGAACCTACAGAACCCAGCCAGTCGCTTTGTGAAGAACTCATTGTTAAAACGCATAACACCATCAGCTGCAGGACGAACGGAGACGTATCGGCACCAAAACCGGCTACAACAAATCACACACAACACATTACACACACACATCCTGCAGGCTGAGGCCGCCGAGCTGTGACTATCAGTGTGGGAGGGGGCGCGATATTCGGCGGGCGCTTTTATCGGCGCTTCCTGTGTCTGTCCAGAGAAGAGTACCAGGGCTGAAATTTATCAGCAACACGTTACAGCTGGAAATCAATGAGCTCAGCTTTAAACACGGCACAAAACAACACATCTGACCAGCATCAATACCCCCTCCCCCGCCCCCCCTTACAGTGACCAGCATCAATACCCCCCCTACACTGACCAGCATCAGCACCACTGAAACATACAGCAACCTCTCTGCACATATATATACAAATACACCAGTCTTCATTCATATGAGACCAATTTTGATGAAGACAGGTGTATAAAATGATCCTATTGAGATGCTGATACCCTATAACAACAAATAATTGATAAAAAGCTGTAAATGATCAATAAAGAAGTGCTAAAATAATGAAGAGTTGTAGAAGATAAAATCACCATAAACTCTGTAGAGCGTAAAATAGAACGAAGTAAATATCAAGAATGCCTCATTTCTGAAAAGTGCAGATCAAATCGTGAAGCGGATAACTTTAAAAAATGACTATATAAGGATTATTACTAGAGCTGGAACAATTAATCGGTTAATCGAGTAGTTGTCGACTATTAAATTAATGAGTGATTAAGGAAAAAAAGTACAATTTCTTTGATTCCTGCTACTTAAATTTGAATATTTTGTGGTTTCTTTACCCCTCGTTGACACCAAACTGTGTATATTTGGGGTGGGGACAAAAAAAAAGCTTTTGAAAACACTGATCAACATTTTTGACCATCTTCTGACATTTTCTAGACCAAACAACTAATCGATTAATCGAGAAAATAATCAACCGCTTAATCGACAATGAACAGAATCGTCAGTTGCAGCTCTAATTATTACACAGTAGTACTCAGTAATACTTCATCTCATTGCAGTGACCCACCTGTACTGTGCAACGACAATAAAGCTGCGCACTTACAGACCACTTTAGGCTTTCTGGAGGTTCTAGATACGTCACTGACTGTGAATACGAGCCATCTAAGCAGGTTTGGGTTAGCTGTTATGAATGTAAAACAGTGGT